TATATACATGCACGCAAAAAATTGTATACTTAATATAAATCTGAATCAAATATTTCTTTGTATTAAGCAATTAAAAACGTTTATTATAATAAGATTTATGTATAATCTTAGACGCACTTGTACCTTGTATAGACTCGGTTCTTGTCGATTTTCTATTTAAATTCATTGTAATGCCTTAGTAAAGATAATGAACAATGTACTATATTTGACAAATGTATTTAAATTTAGCAATTTTATAAATCTTACAGATTGTATATATTTCTAATTTTTAATATTATATTTAATCAATAAAATTAATAACATGAACTACCATAGTAAAAGATAAATATGACGTAGATATAATAATATTGTTATATTGATTGATATGCTATATAAATTAAAAAAAAAAAATTGCCATCAAAATAGTTTCAATGATGAAAAAAAGTATTTACAGAATATATTTATATATATTTACTTTCCAAATGGATTGGTAAAAAATTTGAATTTACAATCCTTTACAACTAAACTTCTAACATCCCTATAAAATAAACTCAACAGTATCATATACAATACATAAAAATAATATCAAAATAACCAAACTCACTACTAATAGCAAAAAGATATAAACTACTCTATACAAATAATAGCATTCTAGCAAGTAAATGAAAAACAAAATTCTATCGCATTAACAAATAATGTATCTTATCATATTTATAATAAAACAAAGTTACTATAAAAGCTTTAATAATATTGGAAAATAGCATATTTAAAAATACAAGCATTTCCAAATGATAAAAAGATTTATAATTTTATAATGATCAACGAATATCTATAATAAAAGAAAAGAATATCTATAATACAAAAATAATTTCAAACTTTTACGAAGTGGAATGCAATCAAATCTTGTAATATTGAAATGAAATACATAGTCTACTATAGAACACCATTCCAACAAACTAAAATCACAAACCAATGAGTTTCTACAACTACTACATCGAGTCTTATAGCAGGTATAAAAGTGCGTCACCTGAACAGATTTTCTTAAGGTGGCGAGTGGTGGACCAGTGAACTGAGTGTTCAGCCTACTTACAGCCGGCACAGAGGCTAGGCGATAGGTAGTGCCAGGAGATGGAGCTGCAACCACTGCATTTCCTGTGATACTATTGGGAGTAACAGCAGTACCTGATGGTGTTCCCGCTGTTGGTGCTGGTCCTACTCTTAATAATTGATACTGACCATTTTCAGTTTTTAATAATAAATGGCCTTGAGTTCCAGGTTGAAGACCATGTAGAGCTTGTAATGTGATCTGTAAATAAAAATTACACAATATATATAAATATATATCTATATATAGATACATAAATTAAATTTAATTTCATCAAATTTCTTAGAAATATAATGATAATTACTTATAGATAACATTTATTAAAATTTGTGTATTATATACTATAAAAACAAAACATATATTTTGAAACTTTATACATTGTTTACATATAAATTATATATTATACGACATTTAAGAAAAGAATTAATCATAACAAGATATTATGAAATAATTTTCAACAAAGTAATAGTATTTAAAATATATTCTTCTTACCCCTGGAGCTCCAGGTTTCGTCCCAACCATGTGTTGACCGATAACCACTCTTGGTGCAACTTGCTTTCCTGCTTGCTGAGCTGCCACTGGTGTTCCAGGTCTCATTGCGTTAACATTGAGAATTTGCACATTGCTGGGTACTATAGTCGGTGTTACACCAGCTTTGCCTTGCAATGCCGTACTAACGACACTGCTAGCCACAGAAACAGGAACAGACATAGGGACGGAAACCATGCCACCGGGTGCTACACTAGTCTTTATCACTAAAGCAGTACCTGTTTGCTTATTTACTCCGGCTACTGCCTGATTACCGGTTTGACTGATAGTACCAACGTTTGAGACAGCGTTGGATGTTGTCTGTAGTACTGCTTGTGAGGTTATACCTAATGTACCATTAGCTAGTTGCCCAACAGTTTGTGTAGGAAAAGGAAGCTTGTTATTAGCCGTTGCTACTCCCGTTGTAGCAATAACTTGTCCGATCGTAGGATATATTATCTTAACAGGTTCTTGTCCTGGAGCAACTGCGTTCGAGGTGACCACATTTACTGGGAGTAAAGTACTCGTAGTGATCGATTTTGTAACTTCTTGAGTCAAAAGATTGTTCACAGGGGTGGCACCGCCACCGTTGGAAACCCCATGTTTCTGTGGTTGTACCGCCGCAGTAATGGTGCCCCCGTTGGAAATACCGCTGTTCACCTGGTGATTCTGTTGACTAGCAGTCGCAGAACTCGTTTGATGGCCAGAAACGGTTGGCGTTGATGTTACCAGCTGTGTTTCGAGGGAGCCTACTATCGCGTTCACTGCAGATTCATCAATGTCCGTACTCAGAGCTTCCTCCAGAAACTTAGCAGACGCCATTTTCTTCCAAGCTCCAACTGTAAACTGAACTGCGCATGCGTCTGTCGCAAATTCTTCCCATGGTGCATTGGCCCCCCCACCCTAACGTAGTTGAAAATTTTACACGACGTGTCCCCGTTCGTCGTCGGCTAAAAGCGCACGCTTTGTTCGTACACTAATCGTCATTATGAATAACGGTAATTGTGCTCGTACGGTTTTTAGTGTATTACTCGTGCGCGAATTATTTATTAAATATTTTTCCAATCTTTTTTATTAATAATATATCTCTAACTCCGTTTTGTGTCATAATTATCAATGTACGGCGTGAAAATACGTCACCCGCCAAAATGGCCATTTTTTGCTTTCGTACACACACAAACTCCTTTGCTTTGTTTATTCGATAATACTTTCGTATACCTTGATATATTTTTTATTAACGTTAATAATAGTAATTTCTATTCTATCATTATGAGTTTCTCTACTTTGCCGTAGTTGAATTTATTCAAAAATATATATGTATAATTCATTCAGTAATCTATACGCAATTTATACACAATTTGATTTTCTATAATGTATATATATAATATAATGAAATGTAGTGTGTGTATGTATGCCTGTGTGTTTGTGTATAATTCCATATTATTAAAATAAAAAGATTTTATATTATAGAAATAAAGAAAAATAACAGCGATATAGTTTACATGTATAAAAGATGATCATAATAAATGTTATTTTCATAAATGAATTATCATGTAACTGATGCAATATTATTTAATATTACATGGTACACAAATTATGCTCATTTTGTTGAAATGCATATCATATTCAAATATTTTCCTTTCTTCCTTCATCAATAATTATAATAATTTTTTAAATCTCATAAGCATAAAGAAAACATGATGGGGAAAAATTACATACATAAACAGGATTAAATATATAATAATATAAGAGAAAATTACTTCTTTAATAAATCTTTGTGTGTAACTATTATTCATATAATAATTTACATTATAAATCTTGGTATATTATATACAAATAGAATAAGAAAGTATTCTTTAGGTAAAATAAAAAGACATATTCTTTATAAAAAATAACAATATGTAAATTTCAATATCTAAATCATAGACTTTTTAGAATGTTTGAAATTATATTATTATGAGATGAGAAAAAAAACAATTTTTTCATTTCATATAATTTCTACTTGCACATAGATTATATTTCAGCAACAAAATACTCAAATTGATAATAATTATTGTCAGAATATAACCTTTGACATATGGATAATCTGTATTCTAAAATTAATTCTACATATCTTGTACGTAAGTTCATATTACTTGTAATGTATTAATAATCATTATTTTTCTATGCGATTGTTATTTAATTATTATTTTATATAATGTTAATTGACATTAAAATAATTATTATTTAACATTAAAATAGCGTTAACAACTTCAAATGTTTATTTATGATTGCGTATCACAGAAATATTTCAACCAATCATAGCGAAGAGTTTTTTGCATGAAGTAAAGAATGTCCAATCAACGAGCAGTATACTTCTACCAATCACATCTTCAGTTCGTGAAAACAACGTTCTCATTGAGTCATACATTTCTGTGATAATTATCCAATCATCTTTATCATACATAACACGCATTTTGTAATCAAATGAATCTATTTCCTAAAGGGAGAGAACCTTATTTTTAGGCGAATATCATTAGCATCAATTTATTTTAACTTAATTAGGTCATTGTAACTAAATCTTTTAAGCTTCTACTTCCTGCATATACGTACGACAAATAATCTAATCTATCATCGATATATTTGATTTTTACCAATGATAAGTAAAAAAGTATATAAACGTTAAGAATTTTCGCTATACTAAGAAACAAATTTATTAAACCATTGAAAATATCAAGACGAAAAATGAAGCCTACAATTGTTCATATTCATTTATTATTCATTGTCTTTTTGACAATCTTTGTATATTCAACAGGTAAGTTTTCTTTACTATTTTTTTATGGTGCAGTAAAGTACATTTTTTTGAACTATCATATCGATTTAAATTAATGCGCATCGAACTTTATCTTGCGATCACATAAAGACGCGCCCACATACATATATACATATATACGTATGCAAACTTACAGAATCAAATATAGAAACAGTAAATAACCATATATAAAACGATAGAAAATGGAGAAAGAAAATGATTGTGCGCAATAAATATAATTTTTTATCATTAAATGAAAGCAAGCATCGATTGATTTTAAATATATATATATATATATATATATATATACACACATATACATAGATACAATAGATCATCAAAAAATCGTGATGTCACAAAAATTGCCTATTCGTCACTGACGTAATTCATTCCGCCAGATTGGGAACAGAGTACAATCGAAAGAAGAAAAAAAGTAGAAGAAAGAAAAATAAATGTTCTTATTATCATGACGTTGTATTTTCAAACGACAATTTGTAAACAACGAGATCGAAGCTGCAAAGAAAATATAAGAAGACAGAATTTGTCCTAGATGAATTTTGTTTCGAAAAATGATCATCGAAGTCCTTCGTATGGTGTCGCTAGTAGCACATAATGGCGGCCGGTAGATGAAACCATATGGCTTTGTCATTCGAAAATAATCGTAAAATTTTACGAATCTAGTTGCGTATAAGTGGAATACGTAATGTCATGACATCGTGTGACATAGTGTTAATAATATATAACAGAATTTTGATGCAATAGTTTTTTTTTTTCTGAGAAAATACAATCTCATGCGAACGTTCTTCATCTGAAAACTTAAATTAACCCGCGCAATCAAGATTGAAAAAGGAAGAAACATAAAATAGAAAGAGAAAAGAAGAAAAAAGATAAAAATACTAGTGATAAGGAAAGAACAATTTTTCAGAATTCTCTTCATAACAATCTATAACCAATATCTTTCTCTTTCTCTCGTTCTTCTCTTTCTCTTTCTCTTCGTTGTCTTTCGACTCGATTCGACATTCTCAAGTTTGACCTTCGCGAAAAATCGTGGCATCATCAACAAAGACAGACAGTATTGAAAGATCATTCTAATGAAACGAATGTCTCAGTTTTTTTGTGTTAACTCTTTCGAAAGGGAAATCGTTTAGTGAAACTGTTAGTATCGTCGAGATTCTAACAAGTGTTAGTTTCATGCGTCTACGTTTTACGACGCCATCATTGAAAATCGTTGGAAGTGGGGAAAAGAAGAAAAAATCAAGAAGAAAAAGTTATTAACAACGATTAACACAACGCCGTTTATTTTATCTATCAGGAGTGGCCACGCTCGATGTGAATGATGATTTGCACAAGGTAATAATCGATTAAATTTAATCATCCTAATCCGATATTTTTGAAAGATGTTCCGTGACAGATTCTGTTTATTTTTCTTTAAAAAAAAAAAAAAAAGAAAAAAGAAAAAAAAAGAGTAATCGAAAATTCGATATTATTCTTGTAATATAGTGAGTATATTGTAATAAAAAAGAGAATGCGGTGTATATATATACATATACATAATATATATATATATATATGTCGAGAGAGAGAGAGAGAGAGAGATAGAGAGAAAAAGGGAGAGAGAGAGAGAGAAATATCAAGTTTCATGTTAATTCCAAATTGACGTGAATCACTATACAATTAGTTCCTATTAATGAAGCATATTTAATGACTAATTAGATTTATCAGTAAAATACGGAAAACTTTCTCTCTTCTTATTTACTGCAATAACACATCGACGAGATATTACAAATTTCTTTAAAAATTTCTAACAATATAAATCACCTTTGCAAAATTAATATTTACGATAAATATATCGTACTATTATAGAAATTTTCATAATTGAGTATATCCCTTTTTGCAATGGCATTATTCTACATTAAATTTGTGATTAAAAGAGAAGAGAAAGGTGAGATAGAAGGAGAGGGGAAACTATCGAGATCATGCAGTTCCAGATTAAAACTATAGTTACGTATATTATAACACTTGTATACTTTTCTAATACACACATTTGCCTCTTTTTCTCTCTCTTTCTCCCTCTCTCTCTCTCTCTCTCACTCACTCTCACTCACTCACTCACTCATTCTCTTTCTTTTTTACAACGAAACATCAGCAATCTTAACAAAAATCTTTGTACAGAAAACGGGTATGGTGACACTGATACAGCACCAACAAACAGGAGACAATAATTTATATCAAAAAGAACAAGATCATCGTATAATCAGTGTATCATCTCAACTCGAATCGTCACGTGAGTCGCCCAATTGTCGCGTTAAATTCGATCAATTAAAATCGACTAAGGAAAATAATAATACTGTGATCACAACAGCGGTAGCCAATTGCAATGGTAATATCGGCGATATCTCTACGCAGTGCAGTGACATAGATTATAAGAATAATGTTGTTATTTGTTGTGAAAATAATGCGGACAATGAAGAAAAAGAAGAGGAGGAGGAGGAGGTGGAGGAGGAAGAGGAGGAGGACGATGATGATACCGATTTAGAAGAAGGTGAAGAAGGATGGGAGACCGATTTACCGGTATCCACTATTGTGCAACATCATCAACAACAGGTGGCAGTACCAAACGGTAACGTAATCTTACCGAATGCTGATCCATCGACTTTTGGTGATATATGCGTGAAAAATTCAACGAACGTTCATCTTGGTAACAAGACCTTTTACAAAGGACCAGTTACAATAAAGCAATTCGTTTACACGAATCCAACTTCGGTGCAGGGCCAAGAAACAACGACCGAATATGATGGGGCACGTTCGTCAGACGCTAATGCTTCCGATTTATCATCGAGCAAAACGGATCTTGGTCTAAACAGGCCGATTTTATCACAAAAGAACGATTACGATAGAGGTGATTGTTTTACGATAATATTTGATAAATATATTAATAATAATCGCGTTTGTTTTCTTATCTATTTTACGTTCATTCATATTACGGGCATGCCAAAATTTGATGTATGGTATTATAGGATGTATATAAATATAATGCGTCTATGTGATTATTCCGCAACAAGATATATGATAATTGAAGACAAAATTGAGAATTTTTCTTATAATACTACTGACGTATTCGACGAGAGAGAAAAGCTGTTCCACTTAATTATTTGTTATCGTCATATTAGCTCTCTTAATCATTTACATATATATGTATATATATATATATAGATATATTAAGTATCGAGAGAATCATGATTATGAGGTAGATATCATCATCTTCAATATAAATTAGGCTTCTATTCGTAACGATTCGGTTTTTCGAAGTTTACGAACTTAAACATTACGCACGTGTGTTTATTCGGAATAAATTGAGTATCAAAAATGAAAGATATGATACCAAGGTGATACGAAGGGTACAGATGTGCATGATTTTTACAGTAAATAGGATAACTGTTATCCTTCTCATCATTTTAATTAAGAATTATTTAATTCATTTATATCGTCAAAATTTTATTTTTTAACGGTATAAAGAGACAGCTTCAATAAGAATATTTATTAAGTGCAATTTAATCTAGGGGTTTTTTTTCAAAGAAAACGTTATCTTTTTGACGCCACGATAAAATATTTCAGTGATAAAGGCCGCGGAAAAAACAATCCGAACAGTTATTTCTAAGCTATTTATATCATTTCTTTAAGTATTAAAAAGAGTTAATGGATTAATTGAAATGGATTAAAGTTAAAATCGTGACACAGATTCAAGCTCCACAGAAAATATAATAATAATAAACATGTGATAATTCCAATACGTACGTAAATGGTAATATACAATCAAATTTGTTATCGATTTTATTTATTGAATGGGTCTTAAGTATTATCTCGATCTAATTTCCGGTAGACAAATACTATGTAACACGGTTCTTTATATAAAAATTTATATGACAGAAGATTTTTTTATAACGTAACTTTAGAACGTGTTCGAAAAGTGAAAACGCTTTATTGAAGAATAACGTATATAAGTGTGTTTTACATTTTTATTCGATTTATTAATAGATTTAATTTTTCTTTTGTTTCCGTCATGTTTGATTTCTTTGAATATTGTTCGTACAAATATTATTGTAAAAAATGTAGTGTGTATTGTTGCCCATGTGATTCTTGTATTTCTATAGAGATCGATCAACCAATCAAATCTATCAGGAATCGTATTACCTCGTCAGAAATCGGTAAATTTTTTAATAACTCCTTTATAATAATTGTTTTAACTTCCCCCCCCCCCTCCCCTTCGTAAAATTTAATACGGAGTATTAAGTACGGAGTAAAAGAAAAAAAGTGTCTTGCCAATAAAATATTCTAGATTTCGTTGGGAAAGGATTAATTCAGTGAAAAAGTGCATGAATTTTTTGAAGTGTAATGAAACAGATAAAAATGGAACAGAGAGCTAAGTAAAATGTGTTTTCTATGAATAATTAAAAAGGTTGTGTCTGTTCGATATGATTAAAAATTAAAATTCTATCTTCAATAATTTCATTTCTATCGTAATGAATATATAGAATATTAGAATATTCTATATATAGAATATTCTAGAATATATAGAAATTCCATTAGAATATTTCAATTTATATTACTAATATTGTACTAATTGATTATTTTCAAACATGCACTATAATTACGTAGAATTTCATCGATTAGTTCCTTTTCATAAAACGTGTTTATCTCTCTCGTATGTAAATTATTTCAAATTTTACTGAACTTGTAAAGAAAAGATTGGCATGTCCGGATCATAGGCATAATCATTTTTATTGATAATAATCAACGTTTAATACATAAAAATTTTCTATATCTTTTTCACATTGATTGGTGAAAAAATATCAAATAAAATGATTCTGGTCTATTGTAACATTATTTTCTTTTTTTAATTTATCGCTATTTTATAGTAACAAAATGGCTATGGACGTGGCGATGCGCGGCACTTTTGTGTACAATAGCCTTAATTCTTGTGACCATGATCGTTGTGAGTTCTGTACTTCTCACAAATACTTCTCGTAGATACGATGTCCTACCGACTCCAATTTTCCCGGAAATTCCAGATTCTTCTCTCGAGGGTAATATATCGACGTTCGTAATTAAAAAATTATTTCTCTTATAAGATATATATTATAAGAGATGTTTATATATACGTGTGTTGTATATGATTATCGTTGTCTTTTTGTTTCTACAGTTGTTATATGATCGCTCTTATCAAGACTTTAGTTTTATCGCTATAATGATTACATTAATTACTATTACTATTACTAATATTCTTACCAATATAACTAGCATCAATGAAACTATCTATCTTTATTATTAATATGAAACATTATAGATTAATAAATATAATAGTTCAAAAATTGATTGCTCTGCTGCACCAACGTGATATAAAAAAATATTGACTCACCAAGTAAAAGTATGAAGGAGTATCGTTATCTAAATAAAAACAAATTCATTTTAGGTGTTGTAATAGACAATGTAAGATTTGTCGAAAGAAACGAATGGGGAGCACAGCCACCAACGCAACCTTTGACGAAGATGAAACTACCCGTCCCTTATGTTATCATCAGCCACACAGCCACTGAATTTTGTACGACGCAATCGGAATGTACTTTACATGTGAGATTTGCACAGACCTTTCACATTGAATCAAGAAAGTGGTCGGACATAGCGTATAATTTTCTCGTTGGTGGTGACGGTCTTGCTTACGTTGGACGCAGTTGGGATTATATGGGTGCCCATGCCTTTGGTTACAACAATAGAAGTATAGGAATATCTTTCATCGGTACATTCAACTCTGTAGTACCACCGAAGACTCAATTACACGCTGCTCAGAGGATCATCGAGTTAGGCGTTAAAGCCGGAAAAATTGCTAAGGATTATAAATTACTTGGCCATCGACAAGTATCGAAAACTTTAAGTCCTGGTGATGCACTTTACAGCATCATAAAAACATGGCCTCATTGGGTACCTCGTCCTTAAATACCTTAGTCGCGATTTTAATGACAGAACTCTTTTACTTTTTCAAACATATCGCACAAATAAGTTTATCTATATAGTCTACTTATTATTTTTTTTATTGTCCATTTCTTTTTTTCCTTTTCCTTTTCTATCTCTTTTATGTATATATAACGAACGAATATTCGTTGTTGTCAATGGCTCGTAATCGTTAAACTGATCATTCCAACGATTTTCTGGACGATACATTATATGTGATAAAATATACAATAAATATAATAAAGTCGATTGCATCCGTGATGCATATTCATACATAATAATTATTATAGAGTTATTAGCGCGTCAGCATGTTTCATTTTATAGCGCGCTAAAATTCGTCACTCGTAAGTGCCAATATAACCATCTCAATACCTCGTACTTGAACTTCTTTTTTTTTTTTAAGAAACTTCTTTCGCGTGTAGTACATCATAAGTATGCGTGTGTGTATGTGTCTGTTTTAAGTTTGGATGAATGCATGTATATAATTTTCACAATTTGGTTTCTTCATGGTATTCTTTTGGAATTTTATATTTTATCTGAGCTTCGGACGAGATATTCTTCATTTTATTTCAATTTAATGCGAATGAAAGCATCCAACGATTTAGTGCAATTGTATGTACTACATTATTTATAATAAACCTCACATCATAAATATTATATAGCGATTATTAAATATAATTAATGTAAAATAAACTTAATTCACTGATGAAGATAATGTTTATTTAAACTTTTGTTTTTTGAATTATTTTTCTAACAAGTAATAACGTGGATATGGCAAATACTACTAATTTTTTATTTCTTTATAAACTTTGTTTTCATAATCAATTTATTAACACGCATAAATGCACACATATGTATATATGTGTGTACATTTAAAAGATACATGAATATTATTTAAGGCAATAAAAGACAACATAATTATATCCATGAACCCAGCATGGACTTTTATTCTAAATATTTTCTAAGCTTTTCTTTCTCTCTCTCTCTCTCTCTCTCTCTCTCTCTCTCTCTCTCTCTCTCTCTCGCTCTTTCTCTTTCTCTCTCTCTCTCTCTCTCTTGCTCTTTCTCTTTCTCTCTCTTTCTCTTTCTCTTTCTCTCTGTGTGTATAAGTATACATACATATATTTCTCAAAATCAGTACAAAGTTCAATTCGCCTTTGGTGCGTAATAGAAGCTGTGATTCAATTAAATAATATAAGCTACATCATTAGAAGTAACTTTGATCACTTTGAACTACAAAATATGTATTTGTAGTTCTTCATTAAACGAAAAAAATGACAAGCAGCTGTATAGAAGATATGGAAATATGCGACAATCTAATAGCATTAGATGTAATATATTAGTGAGATAGCTTTTAAACAACACATTTAAATATATTTCTATGCCAATTATTGTCGGTTTCCCAGAGTAATTGAATGGTACCGCTTAGAGATATATTAAATTTATTTTATTTTAAACCTAAAATCCACTCTGCAACTCCGAGGTAGTAAACGGTTTGTGCAATTCCAAATAATGGTGCTATGACAATCATTCTGCATGCACCTCCTTTAAAGAATGCAACTGGTCCTTCGTTAACAAGTGTTTTTCTGTAAGCAAATAATTGGATAATTGAAATTAATGTTATATATATATAAAAGAAAATAAAAAAAAACCATCACATATTTACTAACCTAATGCAATCTATTACTCCATCATATGTAGGTTCACCGGGTGCTTTTTTAATTGCTTGTAATCTCGTTTTAATTACATCAAAAGGATTAACTAATAATGCAGCTGTAGATCCAGCTGCACAACCAGCAAGAAACGAACACCAAAATACAGCTGAAAAAGAACAAAATAATTAGTCGTATTTTTAGAATTTAAATAATATATTAAATGGCGCCAATGCGCATAGAACGCCCTCGAGTGTTTATCATAGAATCTAATCCCAAATTTGTGTAGATTTTAATCATTGACAACCCATTATGTAGAAAGAAAACTTTGCACATCAAGTAACAAATAGTGATATGTTTATTTAACTATGTTTGATATACTTGACTTCCAGCAGCTATGGCTGCGGTCTCTAGAAGAGCTGAAAGAACGAATGATTTCTCTTGTTTCCGGGGTCTTTGTTGTTTTTTATTTTGTTTGGTTGGTTTCCCGTGTGTGGGTTTGGTGGCACCGAGACGTGTTAGTTATGTGTCTTGCCGGAGGAGGCGTAATAGTCGCGACGAGGTCGCCACATTTGATCACTATATAGCGACATTTTGTCACGTCATTGTTGAATCGATAAGTGTGAGAAGTTTCATCAAGCGTGCGTATATTTCAAGTAGACTGTTATAACTACTAAAGTTAGCTGCAAAGAAGGGTATAGAATAAAGATCTTATTTACATTGTTTCTACGATTCTACACAAAATGAGTCATAGATTGACAAAAAGGGTACACGAAGAAGACGATGGATATGAACGTGCTTATAAAAAACGAAGACGTGTTTCTGAAAATCAAGAAATTGAAGATCGTTTAGAATCTTTAATTTTAAGGGTAGGTGAAAAATCTACGTCTTCCTTGGAAAGCAATTTGGAAGGCCTCGCTTCGGTTTTGGAAGCTGACCTTGGACTATTTCGTAGTAAAATACTGCGCATTTTAACAGATTGTGCCATTAAAATGCCGGAAAAATGTACTATTTATACAACTCTAGTTGGATTACTAAATGCAAAGAATTTCAATTTTGGTGGTGAATTTGTTGATTATATGGTTAAGAATTTTAAAGATGCTTTGAAGGGATGCAAGTGGGATGTGGCAAGATATTCTCTGAGGTTCCTTGCGGATTTAGTAAATTGTCACGTTTTATCGTGTGGTTCGTTAATGCAGTTATTTGATAATATGCTAGATGCTGCAAATGAAGATAGTGTACCACAAGTAAGACGCGATTGGTACGTCTTCGCTGCTTTATCAACATTACCATGGGTCGGAAGAGAACTTTATGAGAAAAAAGAACAAGAATTGGATCATCTAATGGTAACCATAGAAATCTTTTTAAATAAACGTAATAAGAAACATCAGCCAGCGTTAAGAGTTTGGTCTAGTGATACACCTCATCCCCAAGAAGAATACTTGGATTGTTTGTGGGCACAAGTAAGAAAACTTAGACAAGACAATTGGGCAGAGAAACACATTCCTAGGCCATATCTTGCTTTTGATTCTATTTTGTGTGAAGCGTTACAACATAATTTGCCTGCTATAATACCTCCTCCACATCATGAAAATTGTACCTATCCGTTGCCTACTGCTGTCTTTCGTATGTTCGATTATACCGATTGTCCTGCCGAAGGACCTGTATTACCTGGAAGCCATGCCATTGAGAGATTTCTTATAGAGGAACATTTACGCCAAATTATTAATAATTATTTTTTTGAAAGGAAAGATTGTGCTGCACAATTATTAAATTTTCCATACAAAGCCAAAATTCCTTTAGACTATTGTATAGTGGAAGTAATATTTGGAGAATTATTTAGATTACCAACACCAAAACATCTAGAGATTTGTTATGGATCAATTTTGATAGAACTTTGTAAACTACAGCCTTCAACAATGCCACAAGTATTGGCCCAAGCAACAGAAATTTTGTTTCGTCGAATAGATAGTATGGCAGCTACTGCTTTCGATCGTTTTGTTTGGTGGTTTGCATATCATTTAAGTAATTTTCAATTCCGATGGTCTTGGGAAGATTGGGATTCTTGTTTACAACGTGATCCAGAGCATCCTAGACCTAAATTTATTAGAGAAGTATTGCTAAAAGCTTTGAGGTTATCGTATTATCAGAGAATTCGTGACATGATGCCAGAATCTTATGCCGAATTAATACCTGCACTACCAGAACCAGTATATAAATATTCATCAGAAGGAGCAAGCTCTCTACCTGGTACTGCTGCAGCACACGAATTAGTTGTATCTATAAGACGTAAATGTACACCTGAAGAAGTTTTGAATGTTCTAAATACTTTGCCAGGACCTAAGGATCACGAAGAAACAAATAATTTCAATCCATTAAAGATTGATGTTTTTGTTCAAACTTTACTTAATCTTGGTTCCAAGAGTTTTAGTCATAGTTTTGCAGCTATAGGAAAGTTTCATTATGTCTTTAAAGTACTTGCAGAAACTGAAGAAACCGAAATATGTATATTAAGAAATATGTATGCATTATGGAAGAACCATTATCAAATGATGGTAGTATTAACAGATAAATTTTTAAAAACTGGTATCATAGAATGTAGTGCTATTGCAAATTGGATATTTTCCAAAGAAATGGCATCAGAATTTACAAAACTTTATATTTGGGAAATTTTGCACCTAACAATAAGGAAAAAAAATAAACATGTTATTAAATTAACCACAGAATTGACAGAAGCAAGAGAAAAATTAAGAAGGGCTGAAAGTAGATCTGGTTCTTCATCTGAGGATGATGACACTAATAAAGACCGTAATAGAGAGAAACCATCAGAAGATGTCGTAGAAAGAATGGAAGAAAAACTAGAAGCAGCACAAGCAAATCAGAAAAATTTGTTTCTCATCATATTTCAACGATTTATAATGATTCTTTCGGAGCATTTAGTAAGATGTGATACTGATGGTATCGATTATAATACTCATTGGTACAAATGGACCATAGGACGATTACAACAAGTGTTCTTGACCCATCATGAACAAGTACAGAAATATTCATCAACTTTAGAAACTTTGTTATTTACTCCAGATTTGGATCCTCATATTTTAGACGTATTTCATCAGTTTGTATCTTTAAGAGCATAATTTAAAAGTATAATTCTAATAAAGTACATAGTTATAATTATATCAAATAATGATGTAAGTGGCTTAAATCCAAATATCACGACTATTTTGTTTTAAACAAATGTCATGTGGTAAAAGATCCTATTTACCAAATTTATGACTATACTGTGACTACACACAGTAATATAAGAAAAGTCTACTTTGTCATTTCTAATGATAATGATAGTATCAATGACATAGAAAAAATAACAAGGCAAATATGTTGCTTAAATATAGTGCATTTATATACAAGTATTTATAAGTATGGGCACTATTGTTAGCATGAATGAAATGTTCTTTGATTAATATATAACTATGGAGATTCATATAATATTCTGTGAATTTTACTAAAGTTATGAGATATCAAACATATACATGTTTTCTAACTAAAACTATAAATTCTATAACTATAACTATTTTATATTTAAGGTATCTTAAATACATGCTTGATTTTGCTGTAATTTTGTAGAAAGATTTATCATTATCATTTATCAAAATAAATCTTAATAAAAAGATATTTTATTGTAACAAGACTGTATTGTTTATGATCTCCAAAGAAATTCATAATGTCTATAAATAGGCAAAAGAAATTAATTATAAAATTAAGGATAAAATTTAAGATCTTCAAAATAATCTATTGATTCTAAAAAAATTTCTTTCAAAATCTTACTGTAATTTATTTGTTAGAAATGTATTTGTTAGAAATATTTGAAAATACATATTTAAAAATATACATGAAAAATATATTTTATATAGAATAAATGGAGCAATAACTTACATGATCCATCTTCTCGCTTTGGTCCAAGATTATTTAGTCTAGCGAACAAAGGAAAGTAAATAACGGAAAACGTAACATCTCTTAGTGCCGTTGCTCCGGTTCCTTGATAAAGTCCTAGTATTCCTCTTTGTCTAAGAAGATCCTTAGTTAAAGATAATGCTGATACTTTTGGTACAGTTTTTCCAGCTATGACAAAGAAGAGATATAGTGTAGAATCTGATAAATAATTATAGTTCAATATATTCCTAATTATTTGTATAAATGGTAATACGTGTATTTTTAAAAGTAACAATTTAAAAAAATATATATATATATAAATATTAAACGATTATATGTACATATATATAATTCACAGGCTTGAAATTACTTACATTCTCTTGCAGCTGCAGCAACTCTACCTGCATCTTGCATCTGGATTTTAAGTAATTCCATTGGAGTAGTAATAACTATTTGACAAGCTCCTGCTAAGCCTCCAGCCAACATTTCACGTTGTAATGGCAGTTGTTGGCTATGAAATTTAATAAAGAAAAAAAAAACAAAAAGACTAACATCTTTGAAAGATTTTTTTTTAAATTTTCACACTAAATTCAATACAAATGGGGCTAACATAACAGTCATATGCTTTGGAAATGGTAAAATTATTTGAGTGTTCAAAATTGCAATCACATCTACTTGTAGGAAGTTGGACATTTTTTTTTTTTTTTTTTTTTTTTTTTTTTTTTTTTTTTTTTTTTTTTTTTTTTTTTTTTTTTTTTTTTTACCTTATTTGTGTTAGCATATCTTCTTTTATGTTATAACATTATAACTTTTATAATTATTTAAGTTATAAAATTTAACGATTGCAATAAAAGTAGTACCCTGCTTGTGCAGCGTGCATAATACTTATTTTAATGAAATCAGTATACACACACATTATAATAAATAACATAAAAATATATTACATGTTAAAAATATTGTTAAAAGTCGGGAACCATTTCTTTTCGTTTTTTTTTTTCTGACATAATTAGATAGTGCAGATAGGATAGATTCAGTGTTTTTGACAATTTACTATAACGACATTTTTTAGCGAGAATTTATAGTTAATAACATTAACAATCATGTATATAAATTTTTTTACGAATAAAAATGAAAGAAAAAAAAGGAATATTAAAAATTATATAATTTTATTGCAATCTCTCATTGTTAGTACTGGAACTCGCCAAAGAATGCTCTACGGATCTCAACTCAATCATTTGACACTTTTTACACGTACTTTTTTTGTTAGTGTATGTAGCGTTTGCTCTATAGAGATTCCTCATGACTCTGCTTGTACACGCATCCCTCAGCGATAAAATATTTTTTTTTTTACTGCCGCCATCTGATCTTTTATTTTTGTTGTCAGGCTCATGTATCATCCATACACGATATATGCCTTATTACGGAAGAACATAATCGTATAAATAATAATCTATAAAATTTTGTGTAAAAAAAAGTTCGTGAATTTTTTTTTTCTTTTTTTTTGCTTTTTTTTATTTTTTTTTTTTTTTAAGAAATTGTTATCAATGTAAGTGCAGTTAAAAATTTATTTGTATGAGATTTCAATTAAATGATAATATATTAAAAAATTAAAAAAAAAGATTAGAAAGAAAATAAAATAGAAAAGAATAAATGGTAGTAAACCCGAAGAATAATTATAAACGTTGACTCTCTTGTTAAAATTCGTCGATCTGTGGTGCCTGGTTGGACATCGTATCTGATAAAAATTTAATCGATAGATATTTAAACATCCACATAAACATACCCAGGACCAGTGGAGAGATAATGTCTAAATGTGTCATTGGCAGTGAGTTTAATGGCTTTTTCCGGCGTAATTAATAAAATATTTACGCCAGATCCTTTGTACATTCCAAAATATCCTTCCGCTTTATAAGTCTTCTTAAAACAATCTAACCTATAAAAATAGTTATTTTATTATTAACTTTGCTTTTTTTTTTGTTTTTACTGTGTGATCCTCAAATAAAATATTATCGATTAAAGAAGCAGACAAATTGTAGTTTAACTTTATTATCAGGTTAGCGATATTTTTAAAATGACCTTGAAAATTTAAACATAGATACGAATAAATTAAATAGACTTCTCGTTTGTCAAAGTATTTACTTACATCGAGCTATACATTCGTTCGCCATGTGGTCCTATTACTTGATTCTGTAAACGTGTTTTTACCAAATCCAGAGGAAAAACTACGGATACACCGATAATTCCGGCAATTCCTCCATTTATTATCTTTGGTAATAACCTGAAATTATATGAACGTCCTCAAATAACCGAATTAATTTTTTTCCAAACTTTCTGTATAATTCTAGGTTACATAAATCGATAAATGATATTACAGTAGATTTTCACGTAAACGCGATTAATACGTCCCGCTTTGTATGAAATCGTGTTATACGAGAAATTTTTTCTTGTATAACACGGATAATATAAATAAACATGTTTGCGAAAGAAAAAATAAACAAAACAATTACGAAACAGAAAAAAATTGTTATATTTTTAGCGCGCTATAAAAATTCACATTTCAAATATTTCGAATGAAAAATGCGTATAAAACCGCGCGAAAAATGAATGTACAATATAATAGATTATTTAAATATTTTAGTATTTATTATAATGATCGTTGTATACAAAATACTATTTATTATTATATAAAAATAAAATGCAATAATATAATGCATTTTATTTAATAATAAATTGTATTATATTTTTTAATACAATTGGCCTCGTATAACAATTTAAATAAACGATCTCATTTTTAATAGGACTCAATTGGAATCAGCAAGTAGTTATTTCTTAGCTATTATAAGACAATCGTACAATATTCTACTTACTTAAATTGATCGGGAACTGGTTCGGTTGAATCTTTTTGCGCCATTGAAAACAAGTATTTATCTTTTATACCTGTAATTAATATTTGAACGAAAACGTTATTTCCACTTGAACGATTTAGTTTGAACATCATTTTTCATACTCATATGATTCATAAATAGTAATATTTACCAAAAATTAATAAAATTATTATATTTACTTATTGTTATTAATATAAATAAAAAAGAATATAAGAACAACTCGATAAAATGTTTATATTTACGAAGTGTAAAATTAATCATAATTAAAATCATCGAACAGAGAAATAATATTTAATAAATATTTAATTAATACTTTGGATAATTTTTCTAAACAAATGTCAATATTTTTGTTTTACGTTTTGTAATTTATTATTATTTATAAAAATTTCAAATATTATAAATAAACATTAATGATACCACTGCGCATAATCAAATTTAATTTTTTATACATTGATTATATTTTGCTATACCAATTGTTTATAAGATTTTTGTGAAATATGAAATAATGTAAAATTAAAAAGAAACAAAATAAAAAGGCATTAATTATTTAATATTAAAAATGTAATAAGGTATGTAATATTTAATTACTATTTTAATAACTAAATAATTCTTATGCTTTTTGTAATATTTATATGAATAAAATCATTTATATTTCTAGAATATGCAAGAGACAGTTACCTATCGCATATAAGCATGACTTATGTAATGCTCTATTATCTCCAAGTATTAATAAAAAATAAGAAATAGAAGATAAAATGTTTAACTTAGATTATAGAGAAAATTTCATAAGAACTCATTTTAACATTAATAATAATTAATATATTTGTATTTATTGTTAATAAGTACTTATACTTTATTTATAAAATTATATATACTTTTTATAAAAGACAGTGATTTTGACATTAAATTCATGAAATGCTTGTTGTTAAGCATAACTAAAATAGAACATAGACAATATATAATCATGTATAAATATAGCAAGATAATAATAATAATTTTATGATATAAATTTATAACTTCTTTTCTCTTACAGAAGGTAATTAAATTTAAAGTTATTTATTTTTTGGTTGCTTTAAAAATATTTATTACATATCTATATTATTGAAATAAATTATTATTGTTATTACTATAAACATTCAATCATATATTCAATATATTTACCCAAAGATATATAACTCAAAAATTCGTAAATTGTTTATTAAAAATAAGATACGAGAAATTAGTTGATTTTAATTTGAAGATGATAATAGATTTCTGTTCGCAACAGTAATAAAACGACAATATAGATGTATAGAGCAAATTGAGGCTAGATTAAATTGAGAATACAAAATTTGGAAATTATGTCACGTCGATAAGTATGTACATACAATCAGAGCTCATTTACACGTGTTGTAAAAGAACGGCCTTTTTTATTATTATTATTATTATTATTATTATTATTATTATTATTATTATTATAAAATTTATAACATAAACTTGAATTGTCATAATGACATTGACATTAAATCATTCACATTTATTTTACAGAATTAGTATATTTAAATTTATACGTTATTATTTATATGTTATGATCATCTTTCACGATCGTGAATATATTCTTAATAAAAATGTAATACTTTCTTTACATTAAAAAAAAAAAAAAAAAAAGAAAAGAAAAAATAATCAAGCTATTAAGAAAAGAAAGAATATAACTTGATACGTGATACTTACTTCACACTAATATTAGATGATAACGATATAACTTTTATTTTATCACTCACAATTTAACTTATTATAAGATACGTTCACTGACATTAAAACCCATTCGATCTATCTTTGACAGGAGCCACTAATGTCCTGTCGTCGTCTTAAGGTTGATCTCCAATGAAATATTATTTGATATACAATAACGAGTAATAAACTTTGACTATACTTTAAGTAACACTCACAATTGCGTAACTTTCTGCAGTAACTGAAGTCGACTAATCAATGAAATCTTTCTATCTAATACTGATACGTGATTGGACAATAGTATAAACACTTTATGACGTAACAAATCGTAATATAATTGATTTAAGCGCGCTTTTTAAATATATTACGCGAAAATTTGATTATATTTTTTTTATCTATTAGTACTACTATGATATCATAGATGTATATGCAGGAATGGAGAAAAATAAACAATTATTAACATTTATTGTTGAAAGAATTTATGTTCGCACGATGAGATATATTCCAGATAAATTGAATGTGGAATTTAAATTTGATTGAATTTCAATATTTTCGATGCATACATCAGTTTATAGGAGAGTAATTTTGTTCTAAACATTCTCTAATATAAATACATAATATGAAGTATATAATAATAATAATGCTAAAATAACTAATACGATTTATATACAAATATATAGAAATATTAATTTGCCTGAACAACCATTATGCTTTATCACATTCACACAAGAAAGAAATGTATTATGTTAATATTAAATATAAAATAATATGAAATATTTCATATTAGTAATTAATTTTACAAAAATCTCGACAATTTAATTTTCATGTATATATTTTAAGAATACATATATGTAAAATTTAAGCATGGAATCAAATTTGCAGAATGTATGCACTCTTACTTATAAGAAAATAAAATATTAATTATATGTTTTATCGAAGTGCTTCATCAATCAACAGAATTGCAGTAAAAAACATATCATAATTAAATCGATTCAAACTATATTATATTGTATTTTGATTCATGATGTAATTGTATTTATCTTTTTACAAATAATTATGATGTCATGGCGTATATAAAATATGTTTTTTTTGCTACAAAATTATTAACTTAAATATATTAGAGCATGATGTTACAATCCATTTTTTATGATATGAATGAAATTATTAAGAGATGTATAGTTTAATTTTATAATAATATTATATATACAAGAGGTAATAACTTTAAAATTAATTGTAGGAACACAAACATTTCATTAATTATTAATATAATTTTCCAATGTTCCATAATAGTATGATGTTTGATTAGAGTGGCAACTATTTGTATTTTTTCTTAATCTGAAATATTCTTTTTTACGTGTTTATTAAAATTAAATATAGTCTATAACAGGTGCAATGATTCTATATATGATTGCAAAACAATGATTTTACAAATATTGGAGATACATATGTCAAGAAAATCTCATTTAACATGATCTTTGATCCCTAATATTAAATTTCAATTCATCGCTTAATATTAAGCAAATTTAAATGAATTATTCTATTCAATTTAAATAAAACTTTGGAATTTTAAGTTGATACAACTCAATTGAATATTGAATGAAAAACTGATACATTGATGTTAATCCACATTTACATAAGACTAAATAAGACATTAAAGCATTAAAATTAAAATATTGTAACATTAAAATGTGACCACATACTTCTTAAGAATTATTCTTTTACATTAACTTATATCATATCCAAACACATTTGTCATTTCGTTCATACGATTTTGAATATTAAAGCTAATAGTAAATAAAAATTTGATCACATATTTAAGATAATTTAGTTCAGAGACGTACAAAAGTTAGCTCATTAAGCCAATTGGCTTATATTATATATATTTTTTTTTCTTTTACCATAATTATATTTTCACAGCCATGATTCTACTGTGTTCGTCTAGAAATGATTGATTTTCATATATGTTTCTCATCTAAATTATTAGAAGAAGCATGCTTGAATGGAAACAAATAGTAGTAATGGGAGAGTTGTTTCTTTTCGAATTAAAAATTTGCACGTCTCCGTTTTAGTGTATATAATGTCACAAAACAAACATTTATATTTAGTACAAAACATACTAAAATGTGGAAGCAAATAAATTTGTAAAAACAACAGTCACACATTATTATATGCACCCAAATCAACATTTTACTAATAAAACCAAATAGGTTAATGATTTTCTATCAAATTTCTTTCTGTTTTTGTTTTTTCTTTTTTCCAGTATTTCTCTTAAATGCTGATGCTTCTAAAAAGATACATATATATATATATATTTATATATGTATAAATTAAGAATTAATATTACCAAGATATAAATGTAAAATAATCTTATAACATATTTTTTTTTCTTTTTTCAAGATATAAGAATATTACTTATATCACGGCATAATTAAAAAAAAAAAAAATATGACATAGTGAAAACATTGTCTATACATTATAGTTAGAATGTACCTACAAATGTTTATACAAACTACCGTTTGTAACGCCCTTTTATTAATTGTAGTGCTTTCGCCATAAGGGGTGCTTTTGTTTTCTTTGTCATAGCCGCTTTAATGAAATATATGAAAATAAAAATAAAAAATTACAAAAACATTATTATCGGATCATCATTAACTATAATATAAAAATATTTTTAAATATAATTTACTTACAAGATGGTTTAACTCGATTCATTGGAGGTGGTGGTACAGATATATTAGTTGCTGCAGTAGGTCCACCGCCGATAATCAATTTTTTTTTCAAATCAGATGTAGACGTAGGAACCGAATTAGCTGTACCATATTTAGCTTGCTTTTTTAGAACATTTCTAGGAGGCTTAACAACATTATCAACATATGCAAGCTTAGTTGATCGTAATGGTACAGTTTTATCTATAGACTGCTTTATATTGGCTGTTAATGTCTTGAGTTTTGCCTCTCTCTCATCCAAACAACGCTAATTAAAAAAAATAAAACGATTTAATTTTTATTATTATTATTATTATTATTATTATCTTATAAATAATATAATGAATTATTTTGTCTCATTGAAATATATAATAAATTATATAACTGTTCATACCATATACATCTCACGCCATGTTTCCATTTCTTCTCTTTGTTTATTTCTGAATTCCCGATTGCAATGAAATTGCCATAAAGAATCTGTATCATCTATTAGATAAGGATTATAATGTTCTAACATAAATAATTGATCCGGTGTAGCTCGTTCTAAGACCGGCTTTATTATGTCATATGGAACACCGCCAGTAAATTCAAGTGCTATATAAAAAAATTATACATATATAAATAAGTATTACATATATATATATATTAAGTATATATATATATATACTTACCATCAATATTTTCTATCAATACTCTTATGCAAATTTCATATAGAGAAGGTACACTTGTATAACCAGTTTTATTTCCAGAATATACTTTAGTCCTAAAAAAAACATATAAAATAAAACTTTTCTCTCTGTCAAATTTTGTTTACTTCGCATAATCGGATTTATTATTATATTACCTTTGGTTTTTAACATGAATAACATCAGTGAGAACCTTATCTTCTTCTTTACGATGTACAGGATTAATGTATGGCAGTGGTTTATAATTAGGACTTATTTCAGGTAATGTAGATGCCAGATTCACACTTAATGGCTCTAATTTTACATTTGGCGATAAAAGGGGCAATGGCTGCAAATAAAAATTTTTATAAGTATCAAAAACTTGCACATTAATCATGTTCTCTAAATTAATTTTATTGGAAGTTATTTTTATTAAGTGTAATCACTAAATATATTAATAAAATATTATATAATTACATTATATATTTTATTGAATATCAAAATAACTTACATGTAAACTGTCACTACTTGTAGCCTCGGTTTTCACAGAAGATTGCTTTTTGTTGTTTAATGTAGATGATATATTTGTTTCTAACTTAATAACTTTTGCATTATTTAAATTGGGAGAGTTATTATGACGTTTTCTTGATGATGGTGCAACCGTACACATTCCAAGAGCTTCTGCAAAACTTGCACCTGTCAAAAAAATACATAAAAAAATTTTTTAATATAAACATATTTATATATATATATATATATATATATATATATATATATATATATTATTTAAAAACTAACCAGAGTTACAGTCAATTCCTTCATCCCCATTGATTTCTTGTTTGATTTCTTGTTTGATTTTAACTTTTTCCTTTGATTCCTTAGAACCAGATTTGGTTTCTTTTGCATCAGAACTATTTTTATTCTGATGCTTATGCTTTTTTTCATCGTTTTCTTTTCTTTTAGTTTTATCTTTATCTTTAGCATGATCTTTATTATTAGAACTATGATGACTTTTGGATGTAGAACTTTTACTAGAATGATGATTGTCCTTTGTTTTCTGTTTTTCTCTATTTTCGTCTAATTTCTTTTTATTTTTGTCATCATGTATTTTTTCTTCTTTACTAGAACTTTGCTTTCCTTTCTCACGGGATTTATTTTTTTCATTTTTAGATTCAATTTTGTTTAAAACATCCTGCTTCGATAGAACATCTGTTTTTTTATTTAACTCAGTTTCAAATTCACCAGTATTTTGTTTTTCTGCATTATAAGAACTAGTTCTATCTTCATCACTTTCATTTTCAGAATGTCTCCTTCGTTTACTTTTCTTTTTCCCACTGTTGGAACTATCTAATTTTCTTTTTTTGTTACATTCTTCATTATCATCTATAGTACTGTCTAATTTACTATTATGCGATAATTTATCAGTAGATTTTTTTAAATGCGTAGAACTGCTACTCTTTACATCATTGGAATTAAGTCGTTTTTCTTGTTTTGACTCATGCTTAGAACTATGACTTTTATCGTGTTTTTCTTTTTGTGAGTCATTTTTTAAACTTTTTGATGATTCCTTAGTTATATTAGATTCATTTTCGGAAGATTTTACTTTTGTTTCTGATTTACTAGAATGTTTCGAATTATGCTCTGATACGTCATTTTTTTCTGATTTTTGTTGATGTCTATGCTTTGAACTATCACTTTTGTGTCTAAAACATTTACATTATATGTTACTTTATATATCTTAAATTTATGTTTTTTAATTTTATAATACCTATTCTCAATTTTAGTTTACATAAAAATATTTTAAATTATAAAAAAAATACCTTGATATTTTCACTGTGCTATCAGCTTTTTGTTTTTCCTTTAGTTTTGGAGATTCTGGACTATCATAACTTTCAGGAGCATCAGGAACACAAGCTTCGTCTTCGTCTTCACCATCACTAGTGTCCTCATTTGCAACCATAGCTTTCCACTTTGCTACTAAAGCTTTAGCAGCATCTCCTACACCACCTTCATATTTTCTTAAAGCATTAACAGTACGACCAACTCCTGTATCCTGAAGATGTTGTACTGTTACTGGTAACGTATATAGTCTTTGAATATAATGCAGCATCTATAATAAATGGTTATAGAAAAAAAAAATAGAAAAAGTTTATTGCTTTTTAATTATTTTATGTTTTCATACAAAACATGTGATAATGTTAATTTACATAAATTATTTTAACTAATAATGAACATCAATTTTTATGTTTCCTTGTTAGTTAATAAACAACAGTTTTAAGCTTTATTTGAAGTTGTACATAAATATATATATAATGAATTATTTATGTGCTGTGTCCGTGTCCATATCTGTGTGTGTGTTATAGCAAAAAACTATTGCTGATATAATGCAAGTAAAATGTAAATTATTATTACATTAGAAGTTTATATATAGGACTCACTTGATTTTTTGTTATACTGATCACTTAATTTAAATGTATACTCCTATAAATATGTATAAGAATAAATACACAATTATGGATTAGATATATTTTAACTTTATTAGAAACTCATTTAAAAATAATTTTATATGAATATATTGTTTTCAAAATGTAATGTTATCTTGATAAGAAACTATGACGTATTAAATTTATTCTCCTTTCAAATTTCATAGGTTATTTATTTTACGTTTTTTTTAAATTATTTATTTTTACATTGTAATTTTTTTTTGTCTTATTTATTACTGACAATAATAATAATAACAATAATAATTATTAACGCAAACCTTTTCTTCGTTATCGCAACATTTTTTAATATTTCGCTGACAATGCTGTATTTTCTCCACAACAGACATCGTTGTAACTGCCAGCTGCTAGCTGCTACCGATCGTCTATACAGGGTTACCACAAACATGCACTGATTTTTTACTATATTTCAAGATACAAAAATTACTATTTTATTTATCTTGCATTTATTACTTAAAATTATAATTTCATAAAACGCAACAAAAACGAACCAATTTTGTTGTATAACGAATTAGAATCTTCGAGAAACGTTCTTCATAATTCAACTAGAGTTCTACTTTAATCATAAATGTATATTATAGTAGATACAACGATAGCAGCTCCATCTATTATGGCTGCAAATATATTTCAAATCCTTACTTTGATTTTTGCAAAATCAATTTGAATATTAATGCAAATGTCAGTTTATATAATATTTTTATTATATTAATTAATTTAAATATTAAATATATTAATTATTGAAATAAATTTTAAATTACAACAATGCCTGTATTTCAAGAATCTTGCGCTGAAGTAAATAATAATTATTTTCCATTGAGGTTATCATTTGTATTAAACCTTTTAATTGATATGTATATCTTTTTTTATATTCAGCAAATCCAAGCACAAACTATTATTATAATACATCCTGGTTCTATGTATCTTCGTATGGGTCGTGCTTCTGATTTAAACCCTTGCACATTATTAAATGCTGTCGCTAGAAGACGATTATCAGGTGGAGTTGAATATAAGGATGGTTTTTTACCATTTGTTGTCCCTCGAGTAAGCTGCTTTTTTATTTTTTAATTCACGATTAGACAAGTTAATAAAAATTATCTTCACTTGTTTCTAGTAGACAAAGGAATTAACACAAGCAATGGAAGAATCACGTCTTCAAGTTTCTCATACATTGCAATCTTGTTTACAATCAGATGGTAGGAGAAGATATGCTACACCTCCACAACAAATAGCAGCTTTTAATCGTAGGTCTAATCCAGAAATACAGTCCCCATCCAAAGCAGAATGGATAAAAATGGATAAAGACATCATTGTGGGAGATGATATACTTTCTTTAAATCCAGAAGATAATTTCAATATACATTTTCCATATAAAAGAGGTGAACTCAATATTCATTCTGGTCCTGGTGGAAGTTTAAAAGCAGTTATGGCAGATTTAAAAACAATCTGGGAATACGTACTTACTGAAAAAATGGATATACCTCTGAGAGATTTAAAACATTATCGAGCAGTACTTGTAATACCGGATATTTACAACAGACATTATTTAAGAGAATTAACTACATTAATGCTTTGTGAAATTGGTTTTGGAGGCTGCTTTCTTTTACAAGTTCGTTATATAAAATAAGATGTAATATTTAAATTTGTAAAAAATAAAAATAATAATTATCTTTAAAGTAATTATTATTTTTACTAGGATCATGTAGCAGCTACATTTGGAGCAGGTTTAGGCTATGCATGCGTTGTAGATGTTGGTGATCAAAAAACATCTGTTTCTTGTGTTGAAGATGGAATTTCTCATAGAAACACACGTGTACGTATGGATTATGGTGGTGGAGATATAACTCTGACTTTTCTTTGGCTACTTCAAAAGTGTGCATTTCCATACAAGACTTGTGACCCAACAGATAAATTGGATGCGTTACTTTTAAATCAGTTAAAAAAAGATTTTTGCCATGTTGATTTAAATGTTTGTGGATCTCAAGAAAAAACATTTATTGTTAGGAAACCTAAAAAGCAAACGGAAAAGTATACGTTGCAAGTAATATATTATTTCTACATTGTATGTAACTTATTCATGAGTAATACCGAATAAATATATCAATATATACATATATTTACAGGTTGGAGACGAATGTTTAGTGGCACCTTTAAGTTTATTTCAGCCAGAATTGTTTAAAGTTACAGGCACGCATAATGTACATATTCAAAAACGATCTATGGGTGATCCAGAAGATCCGCATGATGAAAATTATTTGCGAGAAACTAGTGTAAAAATATATTAAAAAAACAAATTGTATATTTAATTATATTGAATATAATTATATTTATATAATTTTTTAGAGAAGGGGTATGAAAGAAAATTTAGAGCAAGCATTAGAGATGCAAGAAGAAGTGGTTGCACCAACTGCAGTAGGTGAAGAAGAAGTTGTTGTAGATGCTGTAGATTCTGCTCCAATTGCTTTATCGAATCGAGATTTAGATGCACCAAGAGATTTTGTGGTAGGCCCGCAACAACTTCTTGGCCTCGACCATGCTATATTACAAAGCATTGATCGTTGTCGTATGTGAAGTTTTTAAAAATTTAATTCGAATTTTAAAATAAATATACAAATTTTTTACACCATTTATAAATAAATATTTTCTTTCCAGCTACGGAAGATTTAAAAAGAAAAATGTATAGCTGCATTCTTGTTGTTGGATCTGGAATGAAATTTCAAGGAATTGGAATGTGGCTTCACAATCGTATATCACTTCAAATTCCTTATATGTACAGAGCTGGTAATATAAACAAATACTTTTTATAAAAGAGAAATATATTTTTTTATTTCATAAAAATATATTACAAATTATAATTACAATTAATAATCATAGAACAATTGGATATTATTACACAACCGAAAGAAATGGATCCAGGTATGACTGCGTGGAAGGGTGCTGCAATTTTAAGTTGTTTGGAGTCTGCACAAGAATTATGGATTGGTAGACAGGAATGGGAACGTATTGGAGTTAGAATATTACGAGAAAGAGCTCCTTTTATGTGGTAGATTAATGTTTGATCTGTAATTGTATTTAGATTTTTTTTTAACATAATATATTTATTCTGTTTTGTATTTATTTAACATTCGATATTTCTCTCGTAATATTAATTGTAAAAAAGAATAGTTCAGATTAAAATGTTATGTCATATTGTATAAAAAGTAATACATAAATGAATTAATTGTTTCATAGTAATTCTACCATTTTAATTTTATTTTTATCATTAGGATGATATGTAGCAATATCTGCTTCCACTAAAAATTTTACAGCATCTAATGTTTCTGGGATTACATCCACATAAATGTCATCACCGCCTTTTGTATATGCAGATACTAATGCCTAAACATAATATAATTTCATATTTTTATATAATAAAAATATTTTGAAAATAATAAATGTTACATTACTTACTGATAAAAAATTTGAAAATTTTTCATTTTCTGGAAATAGCATCTCTACTACGTTATGCTATAAAAAGAAAATAATAACAAATAAATAAATATGATTAATACATACATTTTTTTTAGAACAAATTCAACAATAATAATTGTACTTACCAAATCTTCCTTTGTATCCCGAAATAATCTTTTAGTCATGCTAAGTTCATCATCATATGTTTTACTTTCTAATGTTTGTTCAGAAACTAAATACATTTCACGCATCTTATTAAAACCGTTCTTTTTATTTTCTAAACTATAACAATATATCATAGAATTATTATTATTATTATTATTATTATTATTATTATTATTATTATTATATATCTTGTTTTATATTTAATCAAATTTCTTACTAAACAATATCCTTTTCAATACTCTGGAGTTGTTGTTGCGTTTTTTCTAAAAGACTTTGAGCATTCAAAATTTCTTTTTCCAAATCATTTAATGTATCTATACGAATATCAATTGTTTTAGGAATGGGATAATCTTTTGGTGGTATTTTTGGAATGTGTTTCAATATATTATAAGCCATCTTATGTTGTTTCATTTTCACTTCTTCTGACGTGCATGATTCTTTAAAAACAGTAATTTTATTATTTGTTAACACATTTGCTATATCTTCAATTTCTTTTCGCATTTGTACTTGCAAATCTGTTAAATCTTCATGGGTATCTTTTAAAGTATATTCCATTTTTTTTACAATTTAATAAAATAAATTATACATTATTGAGAACAGAAAGAATATAATAAATTTCTAGAATATTTTATAAAATATTATAAAGAACACAGTCGATTCTCTATAATTTAATTCAAATGTCAATAAATATAAATAATAACAACATGAAAGTACGGCGCCACTGTCGCAATATCGTATTAAAATATTAGATAATTACTATATAGTAGTTACTCTCGTATTGAAGTACAGATGTCTCTCCCTCTCTCTTGTATTATAAAAAAAAGAGAAGAAAAATTACAATTCTAAATGTGATACATATATTGAATTTATATAACGAAAACTAATATATAAGAAGAATAAATAATGTTATATTTTATTCTACAATACTTGAATATCGTATAAGAATTTTAATATACCGTCAACGTAATATCAAAATTTTAATACATTTCTTTCATGTATTAGAAAAAAAAAAAAAAAAAAAATAGTATATATAATAAGTATTAAAGTAAACAACGTGTTCAAAAAATAGTGTAAAATATATGCTATAATAATATTTAACTATGACCGAAGACGTAAATAAATTGGGTGATTATTTCGAACGTTCATTTAAAAACACTACAAAATCGAATGTAAGAAAATTATATAAACGTCTTTCAATTGATTGTTCACCTATAAAATAATGTTTGTTAACAGGTTTTAGAATGTCGTGTTTGTGAAGAGGTTTTTACTGTGGATGGTATAAAGGTACCACGATTGTTACATTGTGGTCACACAGTATGTCATTCGTGTTTATTACGATTAAGGCCTTGCATGTTAAATCAACAATTTCTTCTCTGTCCATTCGATAGACAACCAACTGAAATAAATAAGACTGGTATTTTTAGTCTAAAGAAAAATTTTGCATTGATTGAACTTCTCGAAAAGTTGGAACAATCTAACAATGACAAAGCTTTTATATTGGAAAGAGAAAGGCTTCAATCCAATCAACCATGCGATGAAGACGAAAGTCATGTGGCTGTACTCTATTGTACAGTATGTACTACTCATTTATGCGAAAATTGTGATACCACTACTCATTCATCAAGGACACTTGGTAAACATAGACGTGTACCTTTGTCAGAAAAGCCACGTGAAAAACCTAAATGTCCAGTACATACAACACATGTAGCCAAATTTACCTGTACTCAACAAGGTTGTTACAATTCTTTGATGTGTTATTTGTGCAAAGATTATGGCAGACACAGCACACATAAGGTAAAATCCTTTTACATTATATAGATTTTTCTGTAATAATTTTCTATTTATACTTTTAATTGTAGCCAGCATTGGTAGAAGTGGAAGCTGAAAATATCAGGAAATCAGTAATAGCGGCACTACAGAAGATGACTCAGTTCATGGAAAGTATGAGAGATACAGCACAAAAAATAGGTATCTCATATACTTTTACCCTCTTTATTTAATTTAAACCAATAGAAAATATCTTGTTCCTTAATGCCCTCTTTATTAGAAACTGTCATACAAGAATTAGAAGGTTGGGCAATTGAAGATGCAAGACAAAGGGTACGTCAACATTTTGAAGAACTAAGAGCACTATTGGCAGAACAAGAAAAGGCAGCATTAACGTGTATAGATACAGAGACTCGTAGTAGATTATGTGCATTGAGGCAACAACAAAAAGATTTGACAATAACAAGATCACAGGTGGCTGGTGTTTGTATTCAGTGCGAAAGTATTTTAGATTCTGAAGATTGGAAATTACTGAGTAGCGCAGAAAAAGTTAAAGAAGTCTTAGATACTTTAGAAAAGCAACAGCAACATTATGCTCAGTTAGGACCTGATTTTCTTAAACCTGAATCTTCTATACCTATTATATTTAGCAGGGTTTGTAAAATATATACTTGTAAATGATTACATGATCTTACATTTTTCATACATTTCTATATATTACTTTTAGGATAATATATCATTTATTTTAATTTTCTTAACAGGACAATCGAGTACATATAGGTACGAAAATTGATATGAGGGCAGTAATCTTAGGTTTGGATGGTGCAGGAAAAACTAGTATACTTTCTGCGATGAGAGGCATAACTCTTTCAGGACCTCCAATTTCAACTATTGGATTTAATGTAGAGAGCCTGGAATATGAAAATCTTGTATTTACACTTTGGGATGTAGGTGGACAAAATAAATTCAGACCTTTATGGAAACATTATTATCATAAAACACAAGCTGTTATTTTTGTGGTCGATGCAAGCGATCGATCTCGTTTTGAAGAAGCTCAAAATGAATTATCTAAAATTGTAAACGAAAAAGAACTGAAAGATGCTTTGTTTCTAATATATGCTAACAAACAGGTAGAAAATTTAAACATATTTTTTTATAAATAAAATTTACACCATAATGAATAGTTTTCTTTATCATTTTTATTTGCTAATATTTTATTCTTAGGATTTACCAGAATGTGTAAGCGTAGAAGAATTGACAGATATTTTATGCTTACAAAAACTTTGTTGTGGAAGAGCTTGGCATATTCAAGGATCGTCTGTAATTACAAACATTGGTGGAGCTACACAAGGTCTTGATTGGTTAACACAACAACTTGGAGCACATGAGACATTATATACAATACCTATAACATCATGATCGGTATTTACTGTAATTTAATTGAATGCTATAATTCTGAAATAAGGTATATATACACAATTATTATCCGAAAATATTGTTCCATTTAAACTCTAGTTTAAACGATATTATTTGTAATCTCGAATAATGGTCGATAAAAAATAAAATGAAAACGTGATAATATATAAGTATATTTATTGTAATTTATGACATAAAATTTTCATGATACTATATAACAAACAATTTTTAAGAATAAATAGTCAAATCACATCTAGAAAAGTCTTATTTATTTGTTTTTTTATTACATGGTTATTGGTTGTTGCCTTTGATACATAATCATACCAAATATCATTCAGTCATGTTGCACACACCCAACACTCTTACTTTTTAATCGGAGCGAGTTTTATTATGCGTACACTGTACGTAAATGAAATAATATATATATATATATATATATATATATATATGTATGTATATATATATATAATATAGCATCGTTAAATTACGTCTCAATTACTTTTAATGTATATAAAAACACTTGACAAACAAAAACGGAACAACTTAGCGTCTTTTATGGAGCTGTGTCGTTGAAGGACACAAGACAGATATACGAATTTCTATTTCACTGTTTTTAAGTACAGTGTACCTTAGGCAACACAGCACTGACTATTTGCACAAGATACGTAATACTTCACGATTTTATAGAGACCAAAGACTTTCTGATTTTAACGTCCACAAAAATCATCATCCTTTGATGTTCTAAGATGTAATGGGAAGTTTCATCTGATTAAGAATGAAGTATAAATTATCGCAGAGCACCCAATTTGTGTTGTATTATGCAAATTTCTTTTTAAGAATAATTTTGTGCCCGTGAGAGTTAGTGCATGTCGCAGCCACACAGCTCCTGGAATACAGTCTATGCTTGTGTCAACCAACACAAATATTTACAATTCATCGTGTTCCTGAAAAAGCAAAAGAAGTAAATTTAATTAATTTAAATAATAGAAACAATGATAATTGATGTAATAAAAATATTTTTTTCAGTAACGAGGAATTCCACTATTTTATCTTTCAGGTAATCAGGAAAAAGTTTTTCACATCATATAATATATTCATAAAAAAAAAAAAAAAAAAAAAAAAAAAAAAAAAAAAAAAAAAAAATTATATCACATACCTCTACATCTGGAACGGTATTATCTTCTTCATCAGCATCTTCGTCTTCATCATCATCCTTACTATCGTCAGATTCTTTAGTTTCCTTCTCTCTCTGTTTCCTTTCTTCTTCATCCAGTGCTTCCTTCATTTTCTTTTCACCTTCCTGTAATATACAGATAAACATTTGTTAATTAGAAATATAAGAAATAAAAACTTACTTAATTAATGATGCATAATATAATCAGTAACGAGGAATTCCAGTTATTTGTCTTTCATTTAAATCAGATCTATTACAGAGTCATCACAATTTTGTTTTTTTAAATGAAATAATATAAATAGCATATTACTTACAATAGTAGGTTTCCAAACTTCTTCACCGAATCTACGAGCTGTTTCTGGATCATTTGTGATTAAAACATTATCGAAGATCGTACCAGATTTAACTTGCCAGAGATCAAATCCAATACTACATATTTCTTTTCTTGAGTATAACTCAGGATCAGGAATATATTCTGGATTATCGATTTCGGGATGAACCCAAGGTCCTTTGTAGTTTGGATTGTCAATTTGTTTTGGTTTCCATTCACCCTTATATTCAGGATTATCGATCATAGGAGCTTCCCATTCTCCATCCATTTCATCATCCCAATCTTTTGGCTTAGTAGCTTCCGGATCAGGAATATGTTCAGGTTTGTCCCAATCTTCAGGCTTAGTGTCAGAAGGATCAGGAATAGTGGGTTTATCATCCCAATCTTCAGGTTTACTTTGTGATGGATCCTTGATTTTCTTTGGCGGCAAGAAATCCCAATCGGCTTCTAATTCTCCAGCTTCTACTTCTTCATTATCGATTAAAACCTAATATAAAATATAATACATAAAATATGAATTATTTTATAAAATCCAAAAGATCTGTGTAAAATAATATTTTATATAATTAATAATGAATGTTGACCTTTGCTATTTAAATACAATAAGCAATTAATAACTTATGTATAATAATTAAGCAAGATAATCTTTTCTTTTCGAGATCCTATAGCACCCATCCTTTATTACATCTATCAAGGATTTGTGACTCTAGGCTCGTTATTTCTTTTAGATATAAAAATTACAAATAATTTTGGAATTATAATTACCTTGTAAGTATTATTGGGTTTAACAATTAAAGTGTACAAGTGTGTGTAAACATCATCTTTGCATCGGATATCTTTGTTGATTAACAAATTTTTGCCTTTGTAACTGAAGATAACATGAACTTTCTTGGTACCCGGTCCACAGATATCAGGTCCTATAAAAAAGTGGTTTAGACGATTATAAAGAATAAGAGAATAAATCTATGTATATATAATACTACAGTAAAAGCAAAACTGTATCTTTTTTTGGTAACTGGGATACCATTGTGATATACCAGTGCATAAGTAAGACTATTACTTTCCGAGTTCCTACAGCACTTGCCACTCACATATGATTTGACCAGTGACTCTTAGGCTCGGCTTTCGTGATTATTAATGAATTCTTACCAAACATAATCTCGTACGGTGTTTCTCCATGCATATTTTTTTGATCCAATTTGCAATCAAATACTTTGACGTATCCTCCTCCACAATCAATATTCTGTTCATGTTTAACAGTAAATTGAATAACAAGGTCTTCATCTTTATTACTAAATGGTGTAAATTTCCTGCTCAAAGCATAAAACCTAGCATCTTGCGAAGTTTGGATACCTATAAAAAAAATAATATTTGTATTTATTTGTATTTACAATTTTAATAAAAAAAAAGTATTAAATATGTGATATTAAAAGAATGCAATGAAATAATATTTGTGAAATATACCTTTATCATTTTCTGGATCATTCCAAAATTTGCCATGACTTAAGACAAATTTTCCAAACTCTTTTCCTGGATGTTCAGAATATACCCAATTCTTTTCCCACGAATCTGTCACATGCGAAATTAATAACATGATATAATAAAATATCATTGAAAAAAGTAATTGGAATTCATCAAAAATAGAAATGTACTTTCTAACATTGACATGATTTCTAAATATACTTTCAATTTTTTTTTTTAATTAACAAAATAATAGCACACATATAATAGTAAGAATTTCGATAAGAGTTTACAATTAAAACATTATTAGAAATGTATATTGTTATTTAGATTTGACAATATGTTTACACATTTATTTATTTTTTTATTTTTTATTTTTTTTTTTTTTTTTGAATACATTAGAAATTATTTATGTATAAAACAGTAAAAAAAATATCTTTAATTTAAGCCGTTCTAAAATATACGAAATCGATTTAATGATTCCAAATAAATGTGAATATATAATATGTGATTGTCTGCCACGAGGCAATTTTCTACAAAAGTGATATTCATCTTAATGATTTATATAGTCAATACAGACACGTATGCACGGATCATATAGAATATTAAAATACCTTATCAATCGTAGATCAGTCAGATCATTAATTATGTATAAGTACATACGTATGACGAGTTAAATGAACAAATTGTAAAGGGGAAAGTTCGAACGATTCTCTCGCGCCTATTAGGTGAAAGATTTTTTTTTAAATTCTCATCCATATATATATATATATACATATATATATATAGAGAGAGAGAGAGAAAGAAAGTGATAGACTGGAGTAGTCGACATAAGGCCGGTTATTTAAAGCATAAAAATCGTAAGTCAAATAGGAAAAGTTAGAAGGGTGTGGTTCTTATTAAGAAACGATGCAAATGGTGGGTGTTAAGTTTTTCCCAAGGTCCACTTAAGAAAGAAGATCGTTTGTGTGAAATGGAAATGAGTAACGAGAATATAGAGAGATAGGAGGCGTCGTTCTTCTTTTCTTTTTCTTTTTTCATTCTTTCTTTTTTTTCGACAACTGATTGTGTTCGTACGTTAAACTCACCATCGGTGAACTTTTCCTCGAAGTAGATATCCGCTGTGACGAAGGAAATCGTCAGGACGAAAAGAAAAGAGCAAAGGTGTCGCATTTTTAGACGCCGGAACGACGAGAGTCCGTTCGACGAAGACGTTTACTTCACAATGATCTACCCGATAATGTCTCTACGACGGATGTGGTTGGTAAGTTTAGCATCCGTTGGGATAGACAGATGGAGAGTGCTGATTGGCGGGAATGTCTCAACCAATTGGCTCCGACCACGCTCGAGCGATCGTAGTACCCCCACCGTAATCTACCAACAAACGAACTATAGTGCTGCCATTCTTCGTCTTTTATCTTTTGTCGATATAACAGAGTGAATTTCAAATTTCATTTATTTTTAATTATTTTAAATTTATAAATGATCGATTAATCACAAGATCATTTATTTTTTTACGATCGAAAAATTAATTAATTAATTAATTAATTTTTTTTCTATTTTTAATTGTACAGAACAAATATAGTATTTAAATATAAACAGGAAGTACGTAGAGGTTCGTATCATAAAGAAAGTGTTGATTGGTTCTTTCGAAGGCAACCATTTTATTTCGAATTTAATTCAAACTTAGATTTTAACATTGAAATTTATATATAGTAAAATATGAATTTTAATTAAACGTTTACTACTGGTTGGTAGGCTGTGATTGCTTAAAGATAAAAAAGTGAGATTAATAAATAAAGTAATTAAAATATTATTGCAAGTGTTGGTAAATAAATATCGTCATTTTAAATCATACATTAATTATTAATTGAAAAATAAATCACGATAAAATACACATATGCACTTAAATATTGTTAAACATTTCTTCTTTTCTTTTCTCTTTTTTTTTTTTTTTTAAATGTATGCGATTAAAATGTTGTCATGTTAGAGCATAACGTTACCATAGTTACGTACTTGCAAAAGCATTATGGCGTCAGTGTTATTTCAATCGAGTAACCCTTCAAATAAAAAATTTTAATTTCTTAATTTCATTCACGCATTAAATCTCTAAGTGAAGTAGAAAAATGTTGCATTCTAAGGCAACTGCAGCGCTGATGCGTTTGAAAGAAATTGATAAAAAATATAAAATGAGAAAAGAGGAAATGTACATAATGAACTCGAGTACGGAAAGTGCATTAACAAGTCCATCGATGGAACATTCTATAAGAGACAAAAAAAAATTGAATAATCTTAAAATTCCTTTAAAATCTAAACTCGACGTGAGAATGCCAAAAGCACAAATAGAAGTGGAAGAGGTAGAAGAAGAATATATTTCACGTTCTACAACAAATGATAAAGTTTCTTCGATTATTGTGATTGACGTAGAAACAAAATCGGTGAAAAACATAGATGAAGAATTTTCTAATAATACGTCATCTTCATTGATCGAAACCAATGAGAATATCTCAACGAGATCTAATGAAAATGTAGTCTCTAATATTGATAAAAATGAAAGTATTGAAATTGACGAAAATAAAGAAGAAATATCGGAAAAGGAAATTAAAATGGATAACGAAGATAAAGAGATTATCGTCGAAGTTTTACAAGTTGATAGGGAATATAGTACTTCGAAAATTTTATCAGAAATAGAAGAATTTGAGTCGTTGCCTGTTGAGCAAGCATTAAGCTATGTCAATGATACTTTCGAAGAAGCATCGAGTACGATATTATCAACGATGAAAACAAACGATGATCCGTTATCCACGAATGAGTCGTTTAATTCGGAAGATGAGGAAGAGAAAACTATAGATGAGAACATGAGATTTGGCGTGAAGAAAGTTGATATTATATCTAAAAAGGATTTTATACGTGAACAACAGGAAGCAGATAATTCAGGGTACGTGAATGATATAAACTTTTTTTTCCAAATGTTTACAAAATAATATTTTAAATATTCTTTTCAATATTTATTTTTATATTCACAAGTGAAAAACAGATTGTCGAGTTGGTACCACCGAAATTAATAGAAAACACTAGTGAATGTGAAATAGGTCTTAACAAAGAATTATCGAATTATGTTAAAACAATTGAAAGTATCGAAGGAGACGTAAGCGACATTACACCTGTTCAATTATTAAGATCGTCAAAACAGACAGAGATGTCTTCGCGAAGTCATAAAAAAAAATATAAACGTCGTCCATCAACAACGAAGGATAATAACAAAGATTCTTCTAAGAGTGATAAGATAGAATCTTTAGTAACATCGAAGAATAATCGTCGATCGCCAAACTTGACGTTAATGAATGATATTAAAAAAATAAACAATTCTCTAGATGACAAAACGATTCTTTTTGAAAATAACGAGCAACCAAATGCCGACGATAAAGCAAAAAAATTATCCGATAAAGATAAAGATTCTAATATTATAATGATATCTTCTAATAATGATCGTTTTCATCGGACGAATTATAATCTACGATCTGCGGTACGATAAAATTATAAAAATAATTTTCCACCTTGTTACAATATGTCTCCATATTGATTCATTATCGATCATGATGAACATTTAATATGTTATTATTTTTATAAATTATAACAGACTAAACGGAAAAAGAAAAGGACAAAATCACATAGATCCTCAAGAATCGATAAGACAACAGATTTTAACGAAAAGAAATACTCTAGATTCGATATCAAACAAATGTATCGTCTTCAAAAACAAATATCAAAACTTGTCGGTGAACTTCGGTTTTACGATAATTCTTCTTCTAAGAAATTAGATCCAGTTTTATTCAAACCTCTCGATTTTCCAAACATTATCAACTATATACGTCCTGGTAAAATGTTTTTTCAAAAACTATAATCTTTATGTAACATGTTCATGCTTCGTTTTATTTCATTTTTTTTTTTTTAATTTATAGATAGGAATTTTGAATTAACGAAAGAAGATCCTTACATCGGATTTGATGAAAAACTTGCTACGATAAGACAATGGCTCAAAGATCAATACATTTTCTATCAAGTTCGTAGTAATTTAGTACAGATAATTAACGAGAAATACGTTCCCATGAGTCTCGAAGATGCAAAGACGGTGAGATAATCGATCAATTTTCCAATTAATCTCAATATCGCCATGATAAATAATTTTGATATTCTAGGTAATACGTCAATTACAAAAAACAAAAGTCGAAGTGAGATAATGATTATTTACAAAATAATTATTTAGCTCAAGAAAAAGATCGAATGAATTTATAAATACAATTTACGTTTTCTTACCGAGCGAACTAATTTTTTTTATCTCCTTATGGAGTCTATATATATATATATTTTTTTTTTTTTTTTAATCTATATATTATAATCATTGTGTTTTACTAAACAGATAATAAAATATTATTGAGTATAAAAAAAAAAAGAAAAAAGAAGAAAATTTTAGTACAAAGTTCGATACCGTAGTATATAGTATATCGTCACGTATAACAACTTTATATGACTAGATGTAAAAATTCATGCTCATTTTGATGAACTTCGATCAATGAGAGAGTCTACCTTTGCTAGAATTCATCGGACCAAGCCGATATGCACGTGCGTATAACGGATGCGCAATGGTCCGATGCGTGGGGGTGATCGCCGGCTTACTTCCATTGATGTGCCATAGTCACGCTCAGTTCTCTCCTTCTCCTGTAGTGTTCTACGAACCTTCTCCGTGTCGAAAGGTTTCAACTAACTTCCTGATATGATACATTGCTACTATTATCTTGATATGCTTCTATATTAGTTTTTTCTCGTCTGAAATATATGCAAAAATTTGTTAATGCATAGTCAATTAATTAATTTATCTTAAATATTAATTATGACGGTGTTATCACATTTTTATTCGTATTAAATATTATCGTAGTAACTTTAAAAATTTTCTAAGGCAACTTATAGAAAAAAAGGAAAAGAATAAACAAAGAGGAAAAGGCGCCCGGGCTTTCAAGATCCATCTCATCAGTTTTTTTTCGGTAAGTTTTCATATTGATTAACTGTTTATATTGCAAATTTTTATCGTCAACTAGAGTCGCGTATGTAGCATTTCTAATGCTAAACGAAATTTTATAGATATATATATATATATATATATATATATATATATTTGTTTGAATTTCCACGTGAATTCGAATTGTAACGCGACGCAACAAAAAAGATTAAAATCTTGAGAAAGAAAAAGTAATTTTGTTGAAGATAATTTTGATAAAACATTGGCACATTATATAAATGCATAGCTGCTTAATTGTCTTCCTGTTTTGCTTTTATAAAATGCTTATATGCAATATAAATGATATATGTTAGAAATCGCATGTTGCAATGAAATAGGAGCGATTCCGTTGTTGGATACATTTCAAAATCCTGACACAACATTTTATCCTTCGAAGGAAATGAATCGAGGTTGTACGTGAATGACGTTTCACCTATGCAAGACAATTTTTTTTTAGTTTCTTTGAGGTCTCATCAAAACGAGGAAATAGCTTCGATCTTTGAAATAAGATTTTATAATATCCGCTTCTTTGAAAAATCTTTATAAGATATATTATCCGCAGGTCATCTTCCTTATTATTGTATAAAATGGAAGAGATTTCTTTCTTCTTTTTTTTTTCCCTTTTTTATATCTATAATTTCGTTTACGAATGAGAGATTATGAGAGAGATATTAGATATTGCGATAGAAATTTTCTACATAATTTTTTTTCTTTTACTAGTAATAATATTGTTATTTGATGCGTTCACACATACTCCGTTTTTTTTTCTTTCTTCCTTTTTTTTTATATCCTCATTGAACTCTTTTTTCTAAAAATAATATCATAATACAGCCTTTAGAGAAAGGTCAGGGCAGTAGTTAGAGAGGTCAACCGAGTGCAACGCAAGTGTCTATATTGAATCGATCGATCAGTCACACGCATCGTATGTGCCCCTGTAATATTAATTAATTATATCACCTGTAATTTTTATTTACTATATTAACGGGTCATTTAGAGAACCTTTTTGACTTTGGCTTTAATCTTCATAGGATATAGATATCACTTTATACCACTATATAAATATTTTACATTCTAACTTAATTAATACACATGTATCTTGTACTTATATAAACGTACAAAATAAGCTAAGTGTTATTAAAAAAATCTTGGTTGGAACGAGCAATTAGTTGAACTTCGATATTTATGATCCAGGATATTTGTAATAGATCAAATTAAAAAAAATGTTCATTAATAGAATTCCATACGATTGACCTGCCTTCTTCTTCAGATTCATTTATCTTGTGTTTTGCTAATTAAGAAAAAAGTACATTTCTTTATCTAATCGATGACAGATATCTTCTATCTTTTTTATGTTGCAATCGATGAGTTGGACGATACGTATTTCATTTCACGTTTGTTCGTAATTCGCTAAGAAAAACATTTCTATAGAAGTATCCTTGAAATCTTTTTCTTTTTTTTTTTGCTTTTTCTTTTTTTTACATACTCTACTATCCGTAAACAGAAAAAAAAAATATATATACATATTTTTATCATTTATTTCTTCATATTCATTCTTTCTTTTTCTTCGAAGTTATGTTAGATCGAAGATTTCTACAGTATAGATCGTAATCCGTTAATGGATCGCTTAAGTATTAAACTATAAAAATAGTTTACATTAATTCATTATAAGAATTCTTGAATCGTCGGACAAACAATTCAAAATCGATTCAGTCAAAGATCAAATGATATTTATTATTTATGTCTGAATTTTTCTCAGTTCGCAGATTTAGATTCAATCAATTTAAAATTGTTTATCAAAATCAACTTTCTTAACGGGAATTATAATTTCGAGCGAGTCACAAGAAATAATGATTCGAAAGTAGATCTAGTCACATAAAAGTTTGGGAAGACTTGCGTTAGAGTATGTAGTATAATAATCAAAGAAAGATAAAAGAGAGAGAGAGAGAGAGAAAGAGAGAGGAAATAGTGTGGTAGCACTTACATCGATTCTTTATAGATCAATAAATACATTATTAATGAAACATAGAACCCATTTGTTTTTACAAGACGCGCATCTTTTTCTTCATATCTTTTTTTATGGCTTCTCTGAGATCGCTTATAAGTGAATCGAAAATTACTTGGGAACGATCAGTGAGATGAGTCATCTTCTGTCTGTTCGAGGGGTTGCTTCGGATAACCGTTGATTATGTTACTACTACGATTGATGTTCTTTCCACGTTGAAATCTAATCGATATGCTCTGAAATGAAGTGTTAATAAAATTTAAATAAATTCTTTCCAAGAGAATGAGTATTTTATGAAAGAAGAGAAGGCAAGCTATATCATGATATAATATATTTTTGCATATCAAATGAAAGATAAAAGAGAAAGAGAGAGAGAGAAAAAGAGAGAGAGAGAGAGAGAGAGAGAGAGAGAGAGAGAGAGACAGCAACAGGAGGATAGAAATAGTCCATGTTGCTTTCGACCATGCCTCGGGCACTGGTCGTTTCGTTTTTCAAAATAAAGTTGCTTTGCACTCTTTCCTCCTTTTGTATGGCGTCGAAGAACAGACGACTAAAAATACGTTTTACTCGATGAAAGAGAAAAATGGTCTCATGGTTTCAGGATCTCGAAGGTTGAAAGTTCATTGCACGTTATGTACACATTTAACATATAAACATATTATTTCTCAAATCAAACAAAGAATATACCTATCTGTAAATAACAAATGAAAGAGAAACATATTGAGAATCATAAAATAAAATAAAGAATTTTCTCGAACGAGACAGGTTTAAAATAATGTTTGCTAAGTCCATTTACCTAGTCCAATCTGTTTCCAATGTTCACTGAACTCAACGAAGACAATATCATTGTATAGAAAGTACAATGGCTTTTCATTCACAGTATTGACGTACAAAAAAGATTCTACTTTTAATTAACTACAATTCCTTCAGCATTCCAATATTTCTCTGACGATTATATATACCCGTACAAATGATAATATCGTTTCTATTAAATTACATTAATTTTATTTTGCAATCAATTAAAAAAAATAACATTGTTAAATATTATTCTTATTTTGTATATAGAATTATTAAGGAAGTACGGGTAATGTTAATAAATTTTTGTTACTACTCTACATTTATATATACATACATACATACATACATATATACATACATTTATATATATATATGTGTATGTATATGAATTGTATGTATATATGCTGACCGCTCTATACGCGAGACGGCGAGACGGCTTCATGCGGTGTTATAACGTGGCGGGAGAAATAGGCGGTTAAAACGGCGCTCCCACGAGCCACCAACCAACAACAACGATGCCGACATCTTCTGACGTTGCCGGCGTCATCGACCACCATGATCCCTCTTTAGCTTGTCTCTCTTTCTCCTTCTCTTTCTCTTTCCCTTTCTCTCTTTCGTTTCCCTTCTTCCTTTGTCATATTTACTGTCTGTTTCTTTGTTGCACTCACGTGTACCCATGAATAACATAGAAAAAGACAGAGAAAACTACGTGTGTGATATGTGGTGTGTGTGTGTGTGTGTTGTGTGTTTGTATGTACATGCGTGAAAAGTGAACAGAGCGTGACAGATCACAGAAAGGCACCACACAAATTCTCTCCCTCACCAAGGGATTTACTGAGATTTCAGTAGTCACGATAATAATCTTTAAATCCAATTACTGTTCGTTGTATTATTACTATGCACGATTATGACAAGTTTTTATTACTAGATAAGATTAGAATACGGCCATTGTTTATAAGATCATTGACCGAAGCTTTTGATTTTACTGAGAGTCCGAAAAGATAAAGAGTATTTATTATGTCAAAGAAGAAGAAACGACTTCTTAATCATCAATGACAGGAATCAGGGAACATTGTGTGACATAGATAAAATTTCATTTGAGATACAGTGATCGTCGTGACTTTGTTCGTTTGAAATGTTATTATTAGAACTGGTCATCATTACTTTGTTCGACCATTCGTTATTTCCATTCACTAACAATAAGAGAGATATTATTGCTTTTGTATATTTGATGATCGTCGATTCCTGTCATCCCTTTTAACTTTTATTATTCGTTCATTGTCTTCGAAGGTTTCATAAGTATTTCTTATTCTTCTTGTTCTTGTTCTTCTTCTTCTTCTTCTTCTTCTTCTTCAGACTCTGTTGTCTTCCTTCCGTCAATCTTTCCTTTCTTTCTCTGGGAGTCCCTCAGAAAGGCCTCTCGCTTTCGCACTGGATCACCTTGGTCGACGACGACGACGACTCTTCACCTTACTTATTATTACTACCTCGAACGAGCGAGATCGAATCTCTCTCATAAAATCAATGTAAAGAACTCTTCTCCTTTCTTTTCCTGTATGCGAGTACCTGCAAACGTCATCAAAAAATAACGGGAGTCGAACTCTACTTCCAATAGAAAAGGAAAAAAAAACATGTAAGGATAAGCAAAATGAAAATATAAGTGCATCGACTTTTTTCTCTCTCTCTCCCTTTCTCTTTCTCTCTCTCAGACATATTGGTATCTTCAATACTTGCACCTGCAAATGTGGAAGAGATTTAGAGAAGGAGAGAGAAAGAAAAAAATACTTACAAAATCGTTTGAATTAAATTATTGAGAGAAATAGAATGAGAACATAAAGTACGGCAGCTCTTGTTCGAGAGTCAACACGCGAAAGGAATGATTTTCACCATGTAACATTCGATCCTGAATATAACCCGTTTACGTCGCCCACGCAATATTTCTAATCTCTCAACGACTCGATTTCTTAACACATAGGGTGCATTTTAATTACTATTGCAAACTAGTCTTAATATAATTAGATGTAAAACGATAAAAAATAAATAAATATATACAATTTTTTCTTTATCAAACTTTGTTTTCAAAAAAAGAAAAAAAAAAAAGAAATGATTTTGAATATCGAAGATTTAGCTATACGAATCAATACCTTCATATCAAAGGGACACCCTGTATATGTATATATATATATATGTACACACACATATAAGTGATACACTTCGCATAATCATGGAACCGTATTCGCTATAATGTATTTGTTTGTATGTGTTTATTACGAAATCCAACCGAGTTACCCAAGATCCCGATGTGACCGGCAGTTTCTCTTTGTTCCACTGACTGCCTTCTAAATAATCAAACAAATCTGTATGTATTCCCTCGTTGGTTTCGATGGGTACGTTTCGATGCGTTTCCGTTTGTAGAGAAGTCGGTAATCCGATAAAAATCTTCAACATTTAGCAATAAAGAAATATTATGTACTTCCGGTCGATCTTAAAGATAATTCACTTTCAACGTGATATTTTCAATAGGAAAATAAAAATTAGAAGATTTATTCTATATCATCTTCTTATAGGAAAGATCTAATACATCGTACTTCTTCATCCTGTTGTTCCAAATGTACTTGCTTATACGTAGGACAATATAAGAGGACAGACCAACTGGAATCCAGTCGAGCAAAGACCACCAGTTTACGTACTGCAGGTTGCATAACGGTTTCGCACAACATCCAGTATGTAGTATCCAATGTCTGTGCAAAAGAAAAAAATGTCTATGCATATATAATATATGCATATATATATATATATATATATATATATATATATATATATACACACACAATATATATATATGTATATATATTCATCGGTCGTATACATTTGATTCGAATCGCACGCGCGCGCACAAGAGAGAAAGAGAACGGAAGAGAAATAAAAAGAAACGAGTTTTAAGTAATTTTACTCTTAAATAATGTCTATCGATCAGATAGATCTACTCTTTTATTTTCTTTCCAACGAATTCATAGATAATGTTTAATCGTTGTTAAATTCTATTTCGTTATTATAAAAGTGTCATGTTAAATGTGCTTTTCAAACATTATCTACATTGAAATATTCTAGAACAAGGTACGCGGCAAACAGTGAATTTAATATCGACGAGTTTCAAATAATAAATCACACTGGGAACGTCAAATCGTTCAACTGGAACAACTGTGACAGTCGGTTAACGAGAAAATCATAGACTCTCAAGTGCGTTCAAGCAGAAAAATATTTCTTCCTAGATCTATTAATAAACCAAATAGAGTATTGTTATATTAAGTTTAATATATTTATTTTAACGCTTATGGCCAAAATAAGAAAAAGAAGAACAAAAAATAAATCGTGAGACACGAAATGAATCCTCGAAAGAATATTACTCGAAGGTAGTCTTCTACGTTGTATCTCGTCATAAAACGAATTGGACTTAGTCACCTATCTTGTTCCTTCGAACGTCCAGAATAATTAATGAGGAAAGTATGCAAATTTAAAAAATAAATAAATGTTTTATGTGTATAAGTGTTTTCGTCTGTAGTCAGGAATATTACCGTTCGGTTGTCGAGCATTAAATTATATATCACAAAGACAACTTCTACTTCTTCTTTTTTTCTTCTTTTTCTTCTTCTTCTTCTTCTTCTTTGGTACAACCGCATCTTCGTTTTCCTAAGGTTATACCTTTGCTTTAAGATTCAAGTCTCTCGACCACAAACGACTCACTCCATTTCATGTGAAAGTACTCGCTCCTAAGATCATCGGATATCTTCGTGTACTTCCTAAAAGAAAAAAAGAAAGAAAAAAGAGAGTGAATCAAAGTATATTATGCTTATTTGATCGCTATAAAATTGATTGTCGGAATATAAAATAAAAAAGAATAGAGCAAAGAACATCACTGTGCTTCAAGTCTTCTACTACCGTATTTTACTTTCACACGTTCGAAGATAGAAACGAGCAATACGTTTATTTTGAAGGATTTGATTTTATCTTAAGAAAGAAAATTAATAGGCACGAAAGTCGCACACACAATTGGGATTAGAGAGAGAGAGAGAGAGACAGAGAGAAAGAGAGAGAGAGAGAGAGAGAGAGAGAAAGAGATAGTGTCATCATAAACCACTTTTGAGAATGAATCTCAACTTTAATAGATTGAAAAAGAAACGAGATCAAGAAAGGAGAATCTCTTCCAATGTGAAAGAGCTCTGTATTTGCAATTAATTGGGAATCAAATTTATATCATGTTACTGAGGAAGAAATTTTTTAAAGAAAAGATGAGAGCAGACGAAATACCATCCGCGCGCACACGCGCACGTGCAATTAAAATATGCATTATTTATAAGAGAAAAATGTAAATTTATCGTCGAAGTTGAAAGTATTAAGATATATAAATGCGAGACGATGTTTTTCTTCTTCTTCTTCTTCTTCTAATAATAATAATAATAATAATAATAGTAATAATAATAATAATATATATACATATATATTCTCACATAAGTCTCGTACTATTAAACATGAAACTTTGTTACAAGAAAAGAAAAAAAACCCTTTCTCAAAAAAGGAAAAAAAGAAAATAATCAATTAAGCAAAAGAAAATGACAATATTTTCTTATAAAGTCTCTCTACCGCAATTCAATTTGTAATAACTTTCTAAATCTTATTCTCTATTTAAGTTTAACGACCTATAATATTATCGTAATATGATTAAACCCTTATAATATTCAACTTCTTAGTAGATATTTCAACGTGTTGCTTTTGTGAAAGTGTTCGACCCGCGTTAAATTCGTCTGGACGCCCACGATACGAGGATCCGCGATAGCGAACACGTTCCCCAGGTAGAAGAAGAGTAAGAAAAAGAAGAGAAGAAGAGAAAAAGAAGGAGGAGGTGAGGGTGGAGGTAGAGTTGATGGAGGAGGAGGAGGAGGAGGAAGGCCGGTTACACTTTTCTCTTATGTAATGCAGCTTGAGGTTTCTGCTCGGTCTAGCGTATACAAGAGCCGCCTTACAAACTGAAAACAAAACGAAGAGGGCATTGTTTCCATACGTACGGCAATGTTGTTTCTTCGTCGTTCATGAAGAATAAAGAAAGATTTTAATGGAGAAAGCGATTCGATAAGAAAGAAAAACCAGTGTCGTTTCATCGATTTTCTATTAATTCGTTACACTCTATTTGAATAATGCTATTTCCTTGGTTATACTGTCCAATTTCCTGAAAAAAAAAATTAATATTATTACAAATTATAATTTTATCGTGTAAAGGGTTAACTGGAATATACACACACACACACATATGTGTGTACAGATATATATATATAATTATACGTACTCGCAATTATTCTCACGTAAAATGTACGAGCTCTTAAGGTTACGACCTCACCCGATGAACAACGCCATCAGGAGTGTAGAATGCTATGAAGGTTTCATCGAAGAAAACCGGTATTAAGAGTCAATGAGAACTGGTTCGTGAAGAGAATATGATGTCACTTTCATCACGTATATACACATATACCTGAAAAAAAAAGAAAAGGTAAGGTAAATGAGTGTCATACGTTGATCGAATAGTAAGAGATAGATTAAGAGAAGAGTTAGATTTTGATTTTCTACGTCTCAGGGACACATTGTGAAGTCCTTTATTATTCTATGAACTTACATCAGAGAGTATCATTTATTAAGGCTCAAGAATAAATTTATTGATCATGATTCTTCAAAAAGGTTCATGACTGTTCAATAATATTTAATACATTTTGATTGTTTCTTTCAAAAAAAAAACAAAAAAAAAACAAAAAGAAAGGAAAATAAAAAAGTAGAAGAAGAAAGGAAAACAAAAAAAAATTGACTTCTGCTTGATACACGAAACAGGAAGGAAAAAGAGACGATCTTTTCTTCATCGGTTCACTTCATGAATTCACGACTACTTTCGACAAGATAGAAGGGAGTCGAGGGTTCACCTTTCACCCTCGAGTAACTGTATAACGATGGAAAGTCAGATTATGCCAGGAGAGGTAGACGCCTGGTTAAAACCTGCTTCGATTACGCGTCGATTACTGGACTATCACGATGAACACGAAGGAGAGAGGCTTCTCTTTCTTCTTTGTTTCACTTCTCCTCGATCTGCATTAGAACATTTCTATATATGTATATAGATAGTATGTATATACATATATATGTATATATATATATATATATATATATATATGTACAAAGATTTCTTAATATATTAACTTGAATTTAGTATTAGAAAATGATGAAGAAAGAAAAAAAAAGGAAAAAGTTTACGTAAGGATTCACGAACCGCTTCCGTTTCATTTCGTTTAACTTTCAAATGTTTCTTATCTTGATTTAACTCGTGAAAAGAATAAGACGGATGTTTCTTCAAAGCAACAATCTTCTTGATTCAATTCATCCATAATTAATCATATCAAGTTAATAAAAACTAAAAGAAAAAACAAAACAAAAAAAATAAATAAAAAAAAAAAACATAGAAAAGAGAAAATTTCATTTCTCAACATTTTTTCGGATAAATATGTTGAATACATTTGATTGGCATCAAAACTTTTTAATTATAAATTGTGTATTTTGAATTGTGTTAGATAGATCGTGGATAAGATAGATGGATTATTGAATCCACTTGAAAGCTAACTCGTTAATATCCTATTAGTTGATAAAATTGTGAGGAGGAAAAAAAAAGATTTCATCCTTCATTAAATTCCCGGATAGAACTATTGAATCTATCTGAATAATTTGAACGTTAACTTCTAATTAACGTTTATTAACATTTCTTAATTTTAAAATAAAACTCGGAAGAGCAAGCAAGTAATTCGAGTAACTTCTCAACAGCAGCAAACTCGGTGAAGGATTTACTCGTGCAATGAGAGAACTCGATCGTGATTCAGTCTACGGAGAGCGTGGGCGTCGATAACCAAATTGTGGTAAGGTGAAAGAGAAGTTTGAGAGAGAAGGAGGGAAGGTTTATACGCTTCTCGACGACGACGTCGACGACGCCGACGACGACGACGACGTCGACGCTGACGATAACAACGACGACGACGTTCTCCTCATAGTACCTTCAAGTGAAAGTCGCGAATGGTTGTTCAGTCGTGCGACGACGTTCAAAGTGTTCGGATCTCGTTCGTTCGTTCGTTCGTTCCCCTACATCTGCGTCCTTTTTCTTTCCATTACTTCCTTCTTTTCCTTCTTTTTTTTCGCTTGGTTTCCGTCAATTCGCTGACCTTGAACGGTAAAAGACGAAGCGTATCTTCTGAACGAGGACGATCACGTACGAAACTCGTGCAAACTATAAATGGAAATGCAAGAATTTATTTACAAGTTTCTCATGTGTTATTAGAACAGAAAAATACACAACACATATATATATATATATATATATATATATATATAAACAAATGAATAAATAAAAGAAGAACAAAGAAATGTTTCTTCATTCACGGTGCATTCGGTGATAAATGAAATTCCGTTTCCCGTGGGATTATACGTACATAAAAAAAAAAAAGGAAAAAAAAAATAAGAAGTCCGAAGTTTTACTCGAAACACGCGTTCTTCTTTTTTACGAGAGAAGCTATAATTCATCGTAAGTATTTACTGATCGTGACTTTTTGTTTGTCACGCACATCCTTAAAATTTTAATAATTATACTCATCGATAGTTTTCTTGTTTGGAAGATGATGTCAATATGATAATAGATCAATAAAATTATTATCCGACATGTTGGTACACTAAGCCAGTAAGTATTTTCTTTTGTAATTCTTTACAAGAGAATACAGATTTAATCAGTTTTTTATCAATTTATTTTTTTTATATCGTTGAACACACATATTTATACACATGTATATATTACTATACATATTCTTATTCTTTAATCCAAGCAAATATATATATATATATAGTTAAATTATTTATTGATAAATGATTTTCATTAAATAAAAATTTGTTTTATTTATTTAGTTAAGAGAAAATTCATTAATATTAAACTTTCATCCATATTGGACTACTTTCTTCAATATAACATTTTTAATAGCCACTTGCGATGTTATCAGAATTACGTATATTCGTATAGGTACAGAGTAATACTCGTTCGATGGAACCAGTCATACCGGATAACGTTTTTTTTCTTCTTTTTCATAAGGAAAAAAATATGGATAAATTCTGAGAGAACGTGCATGTTACAAGTTACATGATGTATATACATATAATATATATACATATATATATATTCTGGCTTTGTGTAACCAAGTCGAGAG